TAAAGAGAGAGAGATAGAGAGACATAGAAGCAATTGACACCCAGAAGCTGGCCTGGCACAGCTCTGCCATGCTATTCCCATGCTGTGAGACTGGTAAATTGGGCACAAGCCATATCACAGATACCAACCTCAGACTAGGTCACCCTGAAGCCAGGATGCAGTGAAATAAAACAAGGCCACTCCATCATTTTGTCTAAATACAGACAAAATTAGGTTACTTTGTCACCCACACAGTACCCAACATCCCTTCTCACAAACAAAAGCAATCACTGCTCTTTCTTTACCAGTGAATACTTTCTCCTCTTTCTCCTCTTCCCTTTCTGAAAGATTTATTGAGCAACCCAATCAGAGAACTGCCCCGCACTTTCTGACAGTATCCAATCTTGAGTGAACCCTCACCTCCACAGAGCCTCCCCTAAACCATGCAATAAAACCCAAATCCTACAACAGTTTCTTTCTAATACCCTCTCACTCAAATACTCGATGGTTCCCCTTGACATGTGTTCTCCCTCACAGCAATGAGTGATAAACCCAATTTGTTCAACTACAGATACGTTCTTAGCAGTCTTTGGCTAGAGATGGGATGTATATGTTTATTCACAATTTCATTGTCATTTCTGTACCCACTGAAATTGTATGTGATCAATGATCATGTGATTTCATGGTTACCATTGTATCCAATCAGCATAAAATCACAATATTATTAGCCCTGGCTGGTGTGGCTCAGTGGATTGAGCACCAGCCTGCAAACCAAAGGGTCACTGGTTCGATTCCCAGTCAGGGCACATGCCTGGGTTGTGACTGAAGTTGAGCCCCCAGTAGAGGGTGTGTGAGAAGCAACTACACATTGATGTTTCTCTCTTTCTTTCTCCTTCCCTTCCCCTCTCTAAAAATAAATAAATAAAATATATTTTTAAATCATAGTATTATGAACAGGGGATGTTATTTGGACTTATTATTAATATCTGAATATATACTTTCAAATATAAATAAGCATTCTAAATATAATTTGGAGTTAAAAACTTCTGTGCTTTATATGTTGAAATTCTATCAAAGTACTTATGTATGTGTATATATGCATATTTATATAGAGATAATTATATATAATTATTACAGTTAATAATTAATGATAATTATAAAAGCTGTTATTTTGTGTACAAAATAATTAAAACATTTCAAGTGATTAACTAAATAGAAAAGTAGATTGATAGTTAATATGAACATTAAGGGAGAATGTGTTATCTAGAGAATGTTAGAAACAATGCTATATCCTCTTTGAACCAATAAATGCTTATGAAAACTTTAACCATAAAGATTAAATTAGCCCTGGCTGGCATAGCTCAGTGGATTGAGCGCAGGTTGTGAACCAAAGTGTCGCAGGTTCGATTCCCAGTCAGGGTAAATGCCTGGGTTGCAGGCCACAGCCCCCAGCAACTGCACATCGATGTCTCTCTCTCTCTCTCTCTTTCTCCCTCTCTTCCCTCTCTAAAAATAAATAAATAAATATTTTTTAAAAAATATTAAATTATATCTTAATTCTAATCTTTATAGAACTGTTTAATGTACTAATATCAACAACATTAGAATAAGTTTTAGGAACTATATTTAAATTTTAGTTACCTAATTCCATTTACACAGTGACTCATTCTTTTCCAGTGACCTCAGCTGAAAGTGAACATTTTTTAAAAGACTTTATTTATTTATTTGTAGACAGAGGGGCAGGGAGGGAGAAAAGGAGAGAGAGAACCATCAGTGTGTGGTTGCCTTTCGTGTACCCCCTACTGGGTGCCTGGCCAGCAACCCAGGCATGTTCCCTGACTGGGAATTGAACTGGCAACTCTTTGGTTGGTAGGCCAGCACTCAATCCACTGAGCTACACCAGCCTGGGCTGAAAGTGAACATTTTTTTAATATGCCAAATGTGCAAAATAGAGAACACAGCAACAACCAAGCAGCTTACAGTGCAGAGATGTTATAGTTGCTGCACTGTTAAGTCAAATTTCTTAAAAATGACTACTGAAGATTTTAAGTTGCAATAATACTAATTATTTATATAAAACTTTAGACTTATTCTGATATCCCAGGGATTCATGTTAAAATGGATAATATTTAACTTTGTCCTGAGTTTTAGTTGAATATTGACTTTAACTCTTGGCCATTCAGCATTTGGCCAAAATGGGTCTACTGTGTCCCATGCATCTGTGTGTAAAATAGGATCTGGAAGGGTATACACCAATGTACAAACAGGGACTCTCTAATTTTCTGTATGGTGGTCTTTATGTTATGTTTACCCATTATCCCAGTCTTCCTTACCCAGAGAACCCCAACTGGGTTTTCAGCAGCAATAAACCCAACTTCCCATACACATAGCTCAGGTTGGCTACATGATCTCACTCTGGCCGATGAGATTTAAGCAGAAGTCTACTGGATGGGGTTAGGGTTAGTATATGTCAGTAAGTTTGGCAGGTATCACATAGAACCCCTTCTGCTTAGAAATTTACCTTAGACATTATGATGTTAAGGGCTCTGGATAAATCCAGTAGTAAAGAAATCTTCTTAACATTGTTTAACCCAACCTTTTAAAAACTTAGTAACACCTATTACTATCCTTGAACATGTGCTTTGGGAAACTGCATTAGAGAAATGAATAAAGACAAAAACTTGTAAAATCAAAGTAGCTAAAATCCTTAAAGAACCAGAGCAATGGCTACCCACTGGAAAAGAATTCAGCAAGTCTGACTGGGTAAAAATAAATGTTTTTTTTTTCACATTGGACATAAAGGATTATTGGTAGTGAAGAGAATGAGGCTTACACTGAGCAGTAAACTAAATATCAATGAGAAATACACAAAATGAGCAGGTGCCAGCAGCATGTCACCTGAGAGGGCATAAGTTGATTTTACTCTTGAGTTTTCCAAGTACATCTGGTTTCTTCTTTCTAACAGTAGATCTAAGAGCATGACTAGATCCTCAAGTGGTGGTACAAAATTTACAATAATAACCAGCCAGCCCCGAGAAAGTTTTCATCTCTCTCCTTCTCTTGGAGAGTTCCCATGTTTTAATAATTAATTTAGTTTGACTCAAGGAGGGATAATTTGCCTTCTTCCCACTCTGTGACCTAAATACATAAGCTTTGGCAATCAAACATACACCAAGGTGCCCTCAGAGGCAGACTTGCTTTTTGGTTGCACTCAACTATTTCTGTGCTTCCTTTTGGTGATGAGCCACATCTTCATTCATACTGGGAATATCAGCTCTGTAGGTTTCAGCACGTAACCCACTCAGTGGGCTATTCTTAAATCTATGGAAAGAGGTAGAGGTGCGTGGGAACTCAAAAGGCAAGAGGAATATAAACACATGTGAACAGATCTTGATTACAAAAGCTTTTGAGCTATTTGAGATCGGCCTCTTTAGTTAATGTCATTGGCTAATATCTTTTGTATGCATAGGTCCAGGTTGGCAGGAAATCAAGTGTTTTTCATTATCTTTCTGAGTGTCTTATCCTCCCTGATTTCTCTTAAGGATTTGACACTATTGCTTACTTTCTTAATCTTTTTTTTTCTTTTATTCAAAGGAATTAAAAAAAAATAACTTGTGTAAGTCCTTTTTGACACTCTCTTCTTCCTTGATAGAATACTAGCTTCCCAACCTCTTTCTTCCCTAGCCATCACTACAGTCATCTCGAAGTGAACTGTTCTTAGTCTTCTGCTTCTCACACTCAAGTTCTATCTCTGTCATGATCTTAACTATCACTTCTAAGCAGCACCAAATCCAAATCTAGAGTTCTAGTTCCTTGTCTGGGTACACTAAGCTTGAGAACTGTCGAAAAGGGCTTCCCACTCACAGGGACAATACACGATGTTTCTTCTTTTGTTACTCTATTGACACTTTACAGCAGCCCTGCCAGAGTTATTACTATCCCCAGTTTACCAAAGAGAAAACAGAATCCCAGAGACACTAAGAAACTTTTCTGAGATCACACAGCTAGTCAGAAGCAGATCAATGATTTGAAGCTAAGTCTGGCTATCTGACAATTGCTTGTTCTTTCTGCTACTTCTCATCACCTCCTTCACCAAAGTGCTGGCTTTCACCCCATCAATGAAGGAGAACAAGACTCAGGTAAAGCATTTAGCCTAACCAGTTGGGGACTGCGGGGTGAGGAAGTAGAAAATGTGGGAGAAGTGAAAGCTCAGCTGTACTACCTTGTCCTTCTCTTCACTTCCAGGTTAGCCTTACGGGTGAGCCAAGTAGTGAGCAGCCAGTGTAGTGGGATGTGAGAGCTCCTAAGCTGTCCTATTCTCCTTCAAAATATCTTTCCAATGCCCTCCCTTTCTCCACTATTCCTAAAGTGCCCCTAGATCTTGGAGTTCCTGTAGCCTCTTAAGGTGGGAACATGCCCAAAAGAAGAAACATTAAACTGAATTACTGACATGTAATCATTCAGCAAATATTTATTAAGCAAATGAGATGATAAAATAACAAGTATTTACATTTGCTTAGATCTCTAGATTTGCACCACAATCTGAAGTATTTAAAGCTGAAATTATGGTCCTCGTTTTACAAATGATCAAACTGTGGCTCAAAAAGTCTGAGTGATTCTCCCAAGTTGCACAACTGAGCTCCACTTTATAACCAAGGCTCAAACCTGGGTCTTTCAACTTTCAGTCCTGTGTTCTTTCTTTTCTACTGCAACAACTCAAGGGGTTTACAGGTGAGAACTCAAACAAACATACACAAAGAGTTACCATATTTTGCCATATATAACACACTCCTGTGTATAATGCTCACTCACGTTTTTGGCCTAAACTTTCAGGAAAAACTCTTTCACTTTAATTTTTAATTCAATTTTTAATTTATTTATATTTAGATACTTGTTTTTTATATTATAAGGGAATTTTAGCATTTATTTTTGAACATATTGTAGTACAAGAATTTTATGTAACAAATAATTACAAAACACAAAAACAGATACAAGGTATTTCGGGTACTACCCATGTAAAATGCACACCCTTATTTTTCTCTCAAAAATTTGGGCAAAAAAGTGTGCATTATACATGGTAAAATACAGTAAACAGCAATTCAAGATATTAGTATAAGTAACAGCAAAAGACAATAAAGGTTCCAAATGACCAATGTAGATAGCAATAACTGTAGGAGTGACCAGAAAGTTCACTGGGTGAGAGACTACAGAGATGGACTCAAAGAGGAAGTGGAACTTAAGCCTGGCCTTGGAAATGAGGTAGGAAAAAGTGGGAGAAGAAAGGGAAAGCATTCTAGTGGGGGATGGAGAATAAAGGTACAGAGGTGAGAAAGCACAAGTCTTCTTCAGAGAAAGAGTGAGGAGATGAAATAAGCTGAAGAAGAGAGATTTGTATTAGGGAAGAATGGAAAATAAGACTGAAAACGCCCTCTTGAATATCTAACTGAAGAATTTCAACTTGTCCTGTACACATGGGGGACACATCAAAGAGTTTTGAGTAATACAGCAAAACCGTGAAAGCAGTGTTTGGGCCAATGAATTTGGCAATATGTGTTGTGTAGAAAGCATTCCTGTGAGGAGAGACTGGAGGTCAGGAAGACTAGTTAGGAGACTGGGACAGTCAGTCAAGGCTAAAGTGACAAGAGACAGTATTAGAATGGTAGCAGTGGAACCATAAAAGAAGGCCAATTGTAATTGACATGATGAAGAAAGAAATGTCAGAATCTCATGGAACAGGGAGGGAGAAGAGTTCATGTTGCCTGAGAGTTTGCAAGCTTAGGTGACTTGAGGAAAGAAAATGCTATGAACATAAATAAGTAAGACACATAGGGAAACTTGTTCAGAGAGTTTAGTTTTTCACACCTTGTGTTGGAAATAATAGTGAAAGATCCAAGCGAAACTGTCCAGTGGGCAATTGATGGATTAGAAGTGGATTTGGGAGGAAGTTCGGCCTAGAACATGGTGTAATGGAAGGATCTCTGGGATTCAGGGGACTTGAGTCTTAGTTCCTTCTCTGCCACTAATTTGCTAAGTCACAGGCAAGTCATATCTCTGGGCTCGTTTTGTCCTCTGTAAAGTGAGGGGCTGCCCAGGCCCTAGAAGATTTCTGAGGTACTCTCAAAGACTATGAGTCAATTGAATTGTACTCACGCGTATATATGTTCTCTCCAAGAGAAAATCAAGGGCCAGATGGGGGAGGGGATTAAATAACTCCCAAATGCTCTATGATAGAACTTGGAATTCTGTTTACTTTAGGGAGTAAATGATAGAGAGAAGCCAGCCAAGAGAGAGGAAGTAATGAGAGAGATAAAAGTCAGAGGAGAGAAATTTTAAATCAGGGGGATAAAATGAGAAACTAAAATAAAAGGTACTACAATAAATGGAAGAAACATTTATATTTGGTTAATAAATATATTAAAGGACATATTTAATATATAAGAATACCATGAAGATGCCAGTCGAAGAAGGATACGAACAGACCATTAACACAAGAGGAAGTGCAAATGGTAAATCTATGGGAAAGTGTTCAATCTCGTGAGTAGCCAAAGACATTAAATTAACAAATTAATGTTCAAACCATCCAAAAAGATGTATCAAGCCCAATGCTAGAGCAGCAAGGGAACTGGAACACTCATGTGTCATTATGGCATTACAAATTGGTGCAGTCCTCTTGAGGATCAAGATCCATAAAAATATTCATGCTCTTTGATATGGTAATCCCACTCCATATGGGAACCTTTCCTAGGAACAGGATTACAAAGAGGAAAAAAGCCACATGCATTAAGATATTCAAAGCACAGAAAAATTGGGAGTCACCTAAATGTCCAATAATAAGGGAATAGTCGAAAAAATATAATCTGCTTGTGGATGTAATTTTATGCAGCCACTGAAATGATAAATATGAAAGACTGTAGCACAAAGAGAGTATTTATGATAACATGTGTTTGCAGAATTTAAAAACATATGTGCATGATATCTACACATATAAAATATATATGTACGTATTACGCAAACAGAAAAAGTGTGGAACATGAGAAAATGAAAACAATTGTCTAGGGTTTGAAAGTGTAGGTGATTATTTTCTCCCAAAATTTCCTTGAATTTGTCATAGTGGAACTTTTTTAGTGTTGCTTTTATAAAAAAAAAATTTAAAGAGGACATGCAGCAAGAACATCCTCGGGAAGTCAAAGGTGATAAAAGCAGAGAAAAGATCACTGAAGGTTTTGCTTATGAGGTAATTTGTGTTCCTCTAGCTAGAAAAAAAAAGTGTAGGAAGGAAACCAGATTAGGAGAGCTAAGGGGTGATTTTCTGGTGAGGAAAAAAGGGTTTTGGGGTTCTTTCTAGTAATGACAGTGAAATGAATAAGATGAAGAGAATGGTAGCTAAAGGAGTCAGCAGGGTCAAAGTATCATTGGGAATGCTTTATTTTCATTTGTGTGTGTGTGTGTGTGTGTGTGTGTGTGTGTGTGTGTGTGTGAAGACAGGTGAAATCAGTTATGTAAGAGACTGAAAAGGATGAAGAAAGATAAAAGAGTGAACAAGAGGGAGTCCTCTTCTTCTGGGGCTGCAGGGAAAGAAGGGAGAAAGACAAGATGGATATAGAAGTAGAGTTAGCATAAATGAAGCAGAAGGAAGTTGAGGTATTTGATCTTAGTTTTGGAGGAGGTGAGGTAAATCTTGTGTATGTTTTTTAAGATTTTAGTAATTTACTTTTAGAGAGAGCAGAAGGGAGGGAGAAAGCAAGAAACATCAGTGTGCAAGAGATACATTGATTGGTTGCCTCTTGTACACCCCGCACTGGGGACCTGGCTCACAACCCAGGCGTGTGCCCTGACTGGGAATCAAACAAGTGACTTTTCAGTTCGCAGGCCAGCGCTCAATGCACTGAGCCACACCAGCCAGGGTAGGTGAGGTAAATCTTAAGAGATCGTGAAGTAGGATGAAATCAGGGCAGTCACTCTGGAATGTTCACTAGGAATTCAGCAGGCTTAGAGGGATGGGGGCTTAGATGAAATCCCAAGACAAGAAATGTCAGTGGGTCAAGCCATCCTTGTTTTCTGGCTTCATCTGCAGTCCCCTCCAGTCTAGAGAGTGGAGAAGATGGGCTCAAGGGGAAAATCAAGGTGTTTAACTAAAGTTAGGGTGAGAGCGAAGGCAGCCATAAAGTAGGAGACCACAAAGTCTGGGCAATTAGTCTCATTTAAGTATATAGGAGGCCAGGTCAGTTGTGATGGAGAGAGCAGCTTTCCTAGGTGGCACTTGTGGGTAGGAGAGATGATGGGCAAGGAGGCTGTGGTCATAGGAATAAAAGAGAGTGAGTTGCAGATAAGGACAGGGTGTGTAGCTGTTTAGGCAGTGGCCATGAGACTGGGAAGCTAGTAAGAAGGCCAGTTCATTTACTCCAAAAGGAAGGGGTCCCTGGGGAGCAAGCAGGTCCTGGATATCTGGCAGGGGTGGGGTGGGGAAGAGGGCACACTAAAAGAATCCAAAGGGGGACTCAGAAATGGAACTCATTTTTTCCTCCCTGCACACCGGTCCCAACCTTACTCTCCAAAGAGACTTAGTAAGACCTAGTGAACTAATAGACAACTAAGAGATCAGAGACAGGTCAGCAAGGGTAGGGTAAAACAAAAAGAAGGCTGAAGACTCCAGAGGCCAACGGGCTGGAAGGTGATTTCAGAAAGGGGGTGCCTAGAAGAGTGAGCCCACTCTTGTCACAAAGGCCTGCCCAGAAACTCTTACTTCCCAAGGCTTGGGAGTTAGTGCCCCAAGTTCCACACCACACCCCATAGCCAGAAGCCTGTAAGAACTAAGATGGAGCTGGGAGGGGGCGGGTGACTCGATGGGAGACTCGGAGGGGGCCTATCCCAGTCCCAGTGCCCTGCTCTAGCCTCAACACCCTAAAGCCTGTTCTGAAAGAGCCGGCGACAGATTTGTTCTTTATGTAGGACAGGAGCTAGAGAAAAGGGAGCAACCAGTGAAGGACCAGCTCTGGCGTTGATCCCCGTCACCACCTACTACCTCTGTACAAACCTGCTCTACCCCTTGATGCTGGAACTTACATCCAGCATGTGAAAGCTCCTCCCTTTCACCCTGAACCATTTACTGTTCCTTTCATTACATACAGCAGAACTGTCAATATGCTCTGAGCAAACATCACAAAGGAGGGGCAGTCTCATTCCTGTTCCAAAGGCTCTTATCAGCTTGCACCCTGTCCCCGAGGCTCTTCAGAGTCCCCAAGCCATGGTGAGACTCGGGGTTCCCTCTCTATGTAGTGGCTACACACCAGGTCAACAGAGCCATGCCTCCAGCTGCATGTGGGGGCCGTGGCATGTGGGCTTTCTGGGACTGTGCCCTATTTCAGCATCTCAGTAGGTCAGGTTATCCTGCCTTCAAGGGGGAAACCAGGAAGTGGGTGTGGCTGTCACATATGTCCCATCCTTAGCATTTGTGACATGCCAGTTCCCCGGCCTCCCGATTCTGGCAGTCTCCATCAGATGAGTGAGGCCAGTCCTGAGATTACCCCAGCTTCTCCACTGCTCCAGGCGCATGCTCTGGTCTGGGTGGAGAACTCACGCTCTACAAGGATGTGCGGGGAAAGGAGGGGGAAGGAGGCCTGGGGAAGCTTTCCAGGAAGCCTTGTAGGATTAAGAAATAGGACCAATGGTCCCAGGAATGGGGCAGAAACAAAAAGAAAGAAGTAGGGGAGAAAGAGTGGGTGCTACCTACTGCCTTTGGCTAAAAAGTAGAGGCACCTGAAGGATTTATGAAAGATGGGGTAACTCGTGATTTTCTTGGCTGCCCCTAACCCTCAGGGGGAGGGTCTCTTACCAGAGCCTGGAAAGAGGAGGAAGCAGGTATATAAGGTATGACCATTAGGGACCTCTGCCCTGCACTCACCGCCTCTTCTCTCCCTTCCAGGCTTCCAGTGTTACAATCTATCTTCCCTAGGGGTAGGGCAGCTACTGTCTTGGGGGGTGGCTGTCCACCTGCAGCTGCTATCCTCACGCAGAGACACCAATGCCAGGGAAGAGGAAGCCTTGGGGGGCCGTGGGGTGCCACCGCTGCAGAGCATCCCAAGCTGCCTTCGGTACTTGTCCCCAGTGAGCAAGTAGAGCACAGGATCCAGGCAGCTATTGGCACTGGCCAGAGGCCGGGTCACTTTGTAGACCACGTTGACAATGTTCAGCACCCGGCAATCAGCGTCCACCAACCTCGCCATGTAATAAATGGTGCGGGTGATGTGGAAAGGCACGAAGCAGACAGCGAAGACAGTCAGCACCACTGCAATGGTGCGGAGAGTACGCAGACGAGAGGACGACTGGGCAGCCCCTGGCAAAGGCCGATACAGGCGCCGGGCCATGAGCCCGTAGCAGACAAGAGTGACCAGGCAGGGCACACCGAAGAGCAGCCCCATGACTACTGAGCTGAAGTAGACATAGTGGTGAAAATGCTCAGGCCGAGTGGTGTCATGGCACAGGATGGTGTCTCCGTTGATGCTGGTTGTGACAAAGAACAGGTTGGGCACAAGGCAGCTGGCAACAACCAACCAAACAGCCAGGCAAAGAAGGCTGGCAAGGCGAGGGCGGCCCCAGCGCAGGGCCCGCAGTGGGTGGCAGATGCCCAGGTAGCGGTGCACACTGATGCAGGTGAGGAAAAGGACGCTGCAGTAGAGGTTCCAGTAGAAGAGGAAGCGGACGAACTTGCAGAGCTCAGTGCTGAAGGGCCAGTGGTTGCGGGCCGCATAATAGTAGATGAGGGTGGGCAGCGACAGCACATACAAAGTGTCTGACAAGGCCAAGTGGAACATGTAGGTCGCTGTCGCATCCCAGGGTCGGAGGTGAAAGACGAAGAGCCAGAGGGTCGGGGCATTGAGGCCTAGACCCAGCACAAAGACAACTGCATAGCTCACAGGCAGCAGGATGAACTTGAACTCCTCATCAAACTGGCAGTTCAGCTCCACCTCAATGTTGCCAGGGTCTGAGCTGGGGCCTGGAGTTGTGAGCAGCGAGGATTCTATACTGGCCATGGTCCCCCTAGAGGTGAAAAAGGCAGAATTGAGGGCACTGGATTTCCCTGCCTCCACCCCACACCCCCAGCCCTGACCTGAGGCAAAAAAACAAAACAAAACAAACAAACAAAAACAAAAACAGAGAACAGGGAGGGTGATGGGTATAGCAATAGTGGGAGCTGAGCTGAGAGTAGTAAAGCTGGGTGCAACCCAGGCCAGCCAGGTCCCTACCTGAGCCCCCTTGGTCCAGCCAGGGGAGTGGTGGGTAGCAGGCAGTGGTTTGGGTTGTTCTCGTTCTGTGGCTGACTCTGTCTTTCAGAGCTTGGCTAGCTGAAGAGGGTAGAGGCCTACCAACACTCTCCAATATGAGAAGATGCCCAGACCCTAATTGTCTCCTAGTTTGTCACAGCAGCTGTGTCCCTGTGAAGAGAGCATCTTTTCATTTGGTGACTTCCCCTCCCCTTATCCCACTCCCCGTGTCTTCCTATTCCAGTTACTTCTGACTGCTGGTCCAGCCCAGGAATCCCATCGCCACTCTTACCCAAGAAACAGGTCTCCTACCTGGTCCCCTTGAAGCTGAGCCCAGCTGACTCTGTCACGCTTCCCTTTGGCAGCCAGAGGGCATATCCTTGGGGGCGGGGCCGGGGTGTGACCTGTCCCTCCTCCCATCCTGGGAGACTGTCAGAGCCAGCAAGTCCCATGAAGATGATCTAATCCAACCCACTCACCGTACAGATTGCGTAAGGGGCCCAGTGCTATTACTATTTAACAACTTCTAAATGACTGTAGGACAGAGTACACAAGAAACGTCTAAATTTACACAGATGAACAGCCAGGCCACTGGAGATAAATACAGCTACGGGATGATTATACAATCTGTATAAATGAGCAGGAACATGGGGAATGAATGTTAACACGGGCAACTGCAAGGTAATACATTGAAAGATTTTGGAAAATTTAAACTGCTCATATAAATCTTCACTCCATGTGCATGTGATCATAACAAATGCTTATGTCGCACCTACTCTGTGCAAGGCACTAAGCGCTTTACACTTACAATACCTCCCCTCCAGGCTTTCTATAGAAGCAGGTAGTATTATTGTCCCTACTTTGCAGATGAGAAAACTAAGCACAGAGAGTTTAAGTATTTTGCTCATTAGTGGAAGAGCCAAGATTTGAACCCAAGCAGCCTTGCCCTTGAAGCAGCCTCCAGTGTCCATATACCAGATTTCTGTTTGGTCACCTCTCTAAGCCACTGGCCATAAACCAAGGAGGGACAAGCAAATATTTCCTCAGAGACAGCTCTGTCCTTGGTTCAACTCCAGGCACTTGGTTCAGCTCCAGAAGTTCACGAGTAATGGGCAAAACAGACACAAACTCCAACTCTAATGGAGCTTACATAGCAGTGGGAGGGAAAAGATAAAATTAAGAAGTAAGATAAATTTTGATCATCACTATGGAGAAAAATAAAGGAGCAAAGGGGATCCAGAAGGAAGAACAAGCAGGGATAGAGAGGATTGCTGCTGTTTTAAAACGTTTTAAATGTTAGGGTGATGCTTCACAAAAGACCAGTGGTTATAATGAGATCAGAGAGTTTGTCAAGGACCAGATCACGAAGGTCCTTGGAAGGCATGGTGAGGACTCCTTGGCTTTTACTCTCAGTCACTGGGAAGCCATGTCAGCTTTACAGGAGACAAGCATCGGGAGCTGATTGACATTTCAGAAGGATCACTGGCTAGTTGTAGGTGGGACATAGACTGCAGGGCTTTGGGGTGCAAGGGGGAGACCAGTTCAGAGGCTGGTGCCCATAGAGAGAATGGTGGACCAGGCTGCTGGAGGTGGTGAGAAGTTGTCAGGTTCTGGCTAGATTTGCAAAGCAGATTTCCTGATGTGGGCTGGAAGAGAAAGGGATGAGTTCAGAATGCCTGTAAGGTTCCTGGCCTGAGCAACTGGAAGAGTGGAATTACTGTTGACAGAGATGGGGATGGCTTCGAAAGGAGCAGGTTAGAAGCAAAATCAGGAGTACAGTGATCAGCCCGTCAATATTCTGAGATGCTTATTATTACATGTCAGAGGAGATAGCATGGAGGCAGCAAGGAGGCAGGTCACTCCTTGCCAAGTATGCGAGTCAACAAGCTTCCCCTACAGACTCCACCCTTTCCTATGCACCACCCCATGTGTCTCCCGCACTACAGGTGACCATGGTCTAAACACAGCAGAGAAAACAGAGAGATCAAGTGAGCCTGGAGGTTTGAGAGCCAAGTGCCCGGGAACATCCAATTATCAGCAGTTCTGGGCCTGGGGCTCCTGGGGCTAGCTAAGCCTTCCTGGTTATGGAGGTCTTAGGTCCAGGAGGCAAGTTCCTGGCCTGCTTGGGGAAGGGGAGCAGGCTGGAGCAGAATCCACTCTGAAGGGAGTTGGCGAACAATGGAGACTCTGAACCTGATCTTCAGGTCCCAAGAATGCTGCCCAGCTGGATTCTGGGAGAGAGAGGAGGAGGCAGGCCTGCCGGGGAGGCTCTAGAATCTAGAATCTAGAGCACCCAGAAGGCCCAGAAACCTGGATGGGGGAAACCTGGAGATCCTTTCCTTGTGGGAGGGTCGGGGGCAGATCAAAGGTAGGCTTGGAGGAAGCAATCACAGCCTGAGTCCTGAACAGATGACAGCTGTGATGCTGCTTAAAAGGCCCAGGGGTTTGTTGCCAGATGCACTTGAATCCAAATCCTTGTTTTCCCATGTGTGAGGTGTGTGACCCTGGATACCACTTTGTAACTCAAGCGTCCTCACCAGTGAAATGGGAGCTACAGTCCAACCTCGGTTCTCAAACATCTTGGTTCTCAAACAATTTGGTTCTTGACCAGGCTGTCCACAGAAAAAAAAATGCCTCGGCTGTCTAAGAGGACTTTGGGTCTCGATTCTCTCCGCAATGACCCTTTCATGCTGATACCTGTATGATCAGTCACATGTTTCTCAGGAGACAAAGGAGATTCTGTTTTAGAACAAACTGCCTCTCAAACAGTTGTTTTTGTATGTTTTTATTTATGTATTTATAGAGAGGGGGAAGGAAGGGAGAAAGAGAGTGAGAGAAACATCAATGTGTGGTTGCCTCTTGTGCACCCCCAGCTAGGGACCTGGCCCACAACCCAGGCATGAGCTCTGACTGGGAATTGAACCAGCGACCCTTTGGTTGGCAGGCTGACGCTTCATCCATTGAGCCAAACCAGCTAGGACTTGAACAGTTTTCTGGAATGAGTTAAGTTTGAGAACTGAGGTTCCAGTGTAATAATACCAATCTTTCAGGGTTTCCTGCATAGCGAATTGGTTAATAGGTGTGAAAGTACTTTGTAAACCATAAGTGCTGCTAATCCACAAAGTATTTTGATCATTACTTTGTCCCAAGGACAAAGCTGGTCTCTTCAGAGGCAGACAAGTGTGATTTGAAGGTTGGTGTACACCCGAGAGGACAGTCCAATGTCCACTGCACTAGGGAAACACTGGGCTGAGCCAGCTTCTGGCTCCCACTACTGCAAACTTGCTTGGCTCTCCTAGATTTCTGCTCGTCTGTGGACACAGCTACCACTGCCACTGCTGCCACCCAGTGGCTACTTCAGGGAAAGACCACTTCCCACATTTCACAACCAAAAGCTAGCTTCTGCTAACGTCACCAGCACCCGGGCCAGAAGGAATGATTTGTGCCTTGTGCAAAGCTGCTGCCCAGGCTTGCTGTCTTCTGTGAAGCTCTTCATCACTTTTGTATCCGTGATTTGGGGATCACTTCAATTCTCCCCTTCCTCTGGATGTTCCTTCGGACTCCTTCCCTCGTTCCTTTTTCTCCTCCTTCCCCAGGTGGGACCCTTCCCCAAGGCTTACTCTGAGAGCCTCTCCCCACTCCCCTTTACTCCTCTCCTCCCTTCTCCCTTTCGCCCTCCCCCTTCTCCCTCCTCCCTTTGCCCCCCTCTGCATTTCTTTCCCTCTCTCTCAACATCTACTCGCGTGATTTAACTTAAAAGTCATCAATAATTATAACGACCAATGAGACTCCAGCATACAGATCTCTCTCTAATTAAAATTCATTGCTCACATTCTCATCGCATTTGATTTCTACTGAAATAACGACACACACTACAGACTGCCTAGAATTATACTCACTTGTGTTTTTGTTCATCTCTCTCCACACCAGACCCAGAGCTCCTCAAGGACAAACGCCTGGTTTTACCTCTGCCTTTTCCACAGCCTCCCAAGTACAGTCATGGTAACATACATTTCAGATATTTTCCCCCAAAATTCACTAACAAAATCATGGGAAAGTGACTGGCTTCATATCATTTTACTCGAGTTAGTCTTGTTCAGGTGCCACTTCTGTAGTGTGTGCTGTGAGTCTTTTAAATGTCTGTTCTTTATCTTCAGGAAGGCTGTCAACAACTTTAGAGATCCGTACTGCCCTGTTCAGCACCTAGGACAGCATGGGAAGTGTCTATTTCTACCTTGAGATCTGTCCGTCTCTTTTCCATCCTCCACCACCGAGCCAATGCCCTGGTCTAGAACCCACTTAAGTCTGCTGGTGTGCTTTCAGTTGCAATAGTAGAAAACTGCATCTCAGCTGTAAGCAGATTTATTCTCTTGCATTGAAGTCCGGGAGTGGGCAGCTTTGGAGTTGGCTACTCAACAGTTCAACAATGTGATACAAAACTCCCTTTTCTTTCCATCTTTCTGATCTGCAACCCTCGGCATGCTATTTAGCAACCCCATGGTCACAAAGCAACTATTGCAGTGCAGGCATCACATCAAAACGTGGCAATATTCAGCGGCAGGAGGTAAAGGCCCCTATCCTGTATGCTTATTTTGATCACTGAGGAAAGATTTCCCAGAATCTTGCTAGCACGCTTCCCTCACTTCTCAGTGGCCTGAATTTCATCATGCCTGCAATTAAACCAGTCACTGGAAAGAGAGATGGAATGACCATGGTGGGCTTAGAAGAGCAGAACACCAAGTAGAAGGGGAGGGAGTGCCTAAAAAATGGGGATCCTGCCCACAAAAAGGAAGGAGGATATGGCTATTGGGTGCATAAGAAATTCTGTTTGCTACAACCCCTTTCTGAATAACAGACCCCTTGCTCACTCAGACATGTGCTCATCACTTCCTAACTGGAAGGCCTGGTTGGAGTATCACTGGTGTGTGTTGAGTGAGGGGGTAAAGACCTGAAAAGGACCAAAATCAGTCTCTCTGGGGCCAAATCAAGGTGTCAGAATGGCTTCACTTGAACTGCAACGGTCACCTTGCAAGTGTGAGAAACTACAGGGGAGACCCTGTTTCCTCACCTTTTCCAGCTTCTAGAGCTACATTCCTTGACCATGGCGCGCTTCTGCATCCTCAAAGTCAGCGGCATAGCCACTTGCTTCAGCCCTCACATTTCCTTCTCTCTGTAGTCAAATCTTTTCCTACCTCCCTCTGCCTCCAACTTATAAAGAGACTAGTGATTACACTTAGGGCCCACCCAGATGATCCAGAATAATCTCCCCATCATGAGATCTTTAATTTAATCATGCCTGCAAGGTCCCTTTTGCCATATAAGGTAACATTCATAGGTTCCAGGGATTCGGACCTGAGATGTTTGGGGGCCATTATTCAGACTTCCACAGTAGGTCAAAATTCATCAAGCTGTGTAATTAACATTTGTGCATTTTCCTGTTCCTAAATTATACCTCAGTCGAGAAATGCATATGCTCCTCGAAAAGAGGTAATGATTCAAGCTCAATCACAATAATGAATTAAAGACCTACCAGATCTACTTCCTGCTGAGAGGACCGTGGACCTGAGTGCAAAGAAGGAATGGGCCTCAAGTGTAAGTCTGAAGACAACAGTGGACTGAAGGCAAGTCCGAAAGTACATCCATCCTGACTATTCACCTTGCCGACAGACACCAGCCTTGGCAAGTATATGACTCTTTTCTATATGTCCAGCGTTAGTTTCAGTCACACTATGGTCCCTGCAGAGTCTGGGCTTCTAGCTCTACCTGATAACCCCTGAGAAGGAAAGAGTTACAGCCACTAAGAGATAAGGCCCTGAGGTGCATACTGGCAAGGAATGAGAAGGGCGATGCAGCTAGCTGTGTAAGAACACCCTGTTGTGGAGGCTAGAAGGCTGCATCTATGAATAGATGCTAAGGCCAGCCCAGTTCTAAGGGAAGTTTGGGTGGGGTACTAGGGTCCTGTGTCTCTACATTCTCCATGTCCACAAAGCACAGGCCTGGGCCCTGTGGGAGGGACAGTCAAGTAAAGAAGATAGTTTTTATTTTTTTAAGATTTTATTTATTTGTTTTTAGAGAGAGGGAAAGAGAGGGAGAAAGAGAGGGGGAGAAACATCTATTTGTGGTTGCCTCTTACATGCCTCCTATTGGGGAACCTGGCCCACAACCCAGGCATGTGCCCTGACTGGGAATTGAACCAGTGACCCTTTGATTCACAGGCCAGCACTCAATCCACTGAGTCACACTAGCCAGGGCCAAGAAGATTACTTTTGTTGCTGCCATTATGGGGATCCTGGTGGCTGGAGGACAGAAATATCTCTAATTCTATGAGCCGTCCTATGAGGAAGGGGAAGCTACTTACAGCCTAGTAGTTTCAGAGATTGGAGAGCATCAAGAGCAGTGGTGGGGAGAGTAGGGGGTGGGAAGGGGAGGGTTTATTCCAAGTGGGGGCAATGCACATGTCAATGACCTATTCCCTCCACATGCAACAGCCTGCCAAGAGAACCTGTTCTGGGGCCAAGCATCCTTTGTTACCTGCTCTCCAACAGGGAAAGAAGTTCAAGGCTCACATACACATATACTCACAGCTCAGTACACTCATCCCCCGCTCCCCTACCTCCACTCCTTCTTACAGGAGATTGAGTCCTGCTGTGCTCAGAAGCTGGGATAATCTGTGTTTCTGAGCATTAGAGTCCCAAGTCCTAAGGGGTGGGGGGCTGCGTAAGAGGTGCTCTTTTCCACACCTTTGGCCTGTAGCTGATCAAGAGATAGAGAAAGACCAGTGTGACACAAAGCTCTCTTTTCAGAAACACAAAGGCTTATATTGATACTTTGAGGCCTCTTATTTCTATCCCTCCGTATGCTTTTTCTTTAAGGCCTCTGACTCTGCTTTGACCACAGTCCTCAGGTTCAAGGCTTCCCATGGCCAAAACTCTGTATTTCCCCTTCTCAAGTTTCCCTGCCTTTAACCCTATCAGCTTCAAGCTTCCTACCCCCACCCTGCCCCAATATGAAGAACCTGCTAATTTTTTAGCCACTAATCTTGTAGCTACTAATCTGCTTTCCCAACTTGTGGCACCTGAGCTATTTATAAAGCAGCATTTCATGCTAACCCCCCACCCCCCAGAACCATATTCTTCTCCCCTGATTCCCACCAATCTGAGCACTCAAAGGACCTTGGGTATAAGAGGCTGGGGAGGGAGGCATAGCAACCAGAGCTGGAGACTGATGTGAGCTTCATCTCCCTCTCTTTCCAGATAATAGTCCAATGTCCTCTATTTCTAGCCCATACTACGCCCCACATACCTTGCCCTTAGCATCCCCCTTAATATTATCAGGGAGCAGCCCTGGATGGTGTGGCTCAGTGGATTGAGTGCTGGCCTGTGAACCAAAGGGTTGCTGGTTTGATTCCCAGTCACGACACCTGCCTGGGTTGTAGGCCAGCTCCCCAGTAGGGGGCACATGAGAGGCAACCATACATTGATGTTTCTCTCCCTTTCTCCTGCCCTTCCCTCCTGTCAAAAAAATAAATACCCTAAAAATATTATCAGGGACTTTAGGGACATCTTTCCTGACACAGCAGCAGGCATGCAGGCTGAGAGACCCTGCAAGAGACCTCTGGAAGCTTACCTAAGCTCACCCCAGGGACCAGACCTCATATGCATCAAAGGGAAGCACTAGAGAAATATCTTTCTTTCTTTTTTTTCCAATTAAGATTAGAAATAGTCACATTTATTTTTCTGAAAATCCAACTATCTCAAGATTTTAAATATTATTAAATATATAAGTTCATGAGGGTAATGACTATTTCTTTCATTCACAAAACACAGAGCCAGCCCTATATCTTTCCTTTAATAATTGTTTTTTTATTGTTCAAGTACAATTGTCTCTACTCCCCCCTGCCCCACCCACCCCCATCTCCCACCCTCAATCCTACGCCCCTTTGGTTTGTCCATGTGTCCTTTATACATGCTACTTGATGACCTTTCCCCTCCCCTCCATTATCCCCTTTCCTCTCCTCTCTGGTTACTGTTAGTTTGTTCTTTATTTCAATGTCTCTGTTTATATTTTGCTTGCTTGTTTGTTATCTTCCTTTCTCTAATGGTCCCCTTCACCAGGGCCTAGCCCCTGGGACCTGGGTGAGAATAAGGAAGGGAGGATTTGGAGAGGGCGATGAGAATAACAGGCAAGTTCAAGAAAGGCTTTCAATGCCCATAGCAGTGTCTGCCACCAACAACAAAGAGCACAAGGGCACCAACTGTTTGTCTCTCACACCTCTCCTTTCTCAGCTGGGGGACAAGGCCACCGTGATGTGACCTCAGGCTCAGAATCCATTGTAGGAGCAAAAGCAGACAGGATCTGTTTATTTGTTCATTCATTCGGGTAACTAACAAAGATGTCTCACAAAGATGCCTACACTGTGCTAGGTGATGTCCAGCTTCATCCAGTGCAATTTTCTCTCACAGTCTTCTGGATGGAGACCTGTCTCCAGCCCCTTTACAGACAAGTTTCTTCTCTCTGAAGCCTTCCAAGAGTGCCCTAGCTATTCTAGAAAAGCCAGCACTTTCTGAAGATGGACAGTATAGTTAGCCAACAATTTGTAAAAAATAAAAGCAGGGAGGTATACAGGATGGGTGGGAGTATGGGTGAATAAGTACTCTTGGCAGGAGAGAGAATAGAAATGGCACTTCATGCTGAGAAGTGTCAATCTAAAGAGGAAAGGTTACTTTACACTAGGAGTGCCAAGGAGAGGAAGGGACAAATGATTGAGCCTTCTTCCTTCTTTCCCTCCTCCCAGAAAAGGCTCTACATCAACTCCATGGTCAACATTTCCAGGTAAGTAAGAGCTCCTTCTAATTCTCTTATCCTGGGACTTGTCCCCTACCCAAATTCAAGTACTTGCTTTTGCGGCAGATTGGTTTTCCACCTCCCCCAATTTGTGGCTTGAACTCTACCCCAGTTACCTCCTCCTTTGCACCGTTGCATGCTCCTCAGGTGTCTTCTAATTCTAGGAGTATTTCCTTTTCTCCCCACTTACCCTTCTTTCCTCTCCCTTCCTCTCTTCCTCCCTTCTCTCCCAATCTTCCTCCCTATTCTGTTTCTGGCTTTCTCCCCATAGGGTGTTTTTTTAAGATTTTATTTATTTATTTTTAGACAGAAGGGAAGACAGGGAGAAAGAGAGGGAGAGAAACATGAATGTGTGGTTGCCTTTCATGCACCCCCTACTGGGGAGCTGGCCAGCAACCCACGCATGTGCCCTAACTGGGAATCGAACTGGTGGCCCTTTGGTTCTCAGGCCGGCACTCAGCCCATTAAGGAATCCTAGGTCTTGATCTTGGTGTTCTCCCTCCAACCTTATAACGGGCCTCTCTCCTCCAGCTTGAGGTTCACTACCACGGCAAACCCATCTCTGTCAATGTTTGTATCAGCAACTGCACCAGCATGCTCATCAAAAAAATCAAGATTTCAGGTGAGCTTCTTTTCCTATCCTCCTACACCTGGTCTCAAAACCACAGATCTTTTTCTAAAACTCTGCCCCCCTCATCCAAATCTGCATTCAGCTAGGCTTTCCCACCAATGCAGGCATATTGAAATTTACTCATCTTTGTCCATGAGTACATCATGGTGCATCATGCATATTTTATAAGGTCATTTCTGAGGGCAGTAAGTTGAGGGCTCGAGGATGACTGATTAATTATAGTCATGTGATTTTCTTGCCTGTTCAGTTGACCAGATCACAGATGTTGTTCTGTATTCACTAGACAAGTACACCAAGACTGTGTTCATTCAGGAGTTCATGTGAGCTGGGGCTGGGGCTGGGGCTGGGGTTAGACAGCCAAGGGGTGGAGGGGAGGCGGGAAGAGGGCTGAGTGCTAGAGGCAGAGGAGAGGGTTGGGGAAAGAAGAAAGTGGGTAGAGCCCAGGACTGAGAAAGATCAAAGTGAAGGCCGACATGGATAAAGGGAAGAATTCCCAGGAGAACTAGAGGGAGGACACCCACAAGAGGATCATCAAAATGCTGAGAGAGGACGGTGGTATAAAGATTTCCCATCAGAGCAAATTGTTCCCACTTGCCACAGTGAGACACGACAGCTTTCTTGGATAATCCAGTAGGTTCGTGCAGTTGTAGAAGATAATGTTGGGAATGAAAGTACACTTAGTTGGCAAACCTAGCCTAAATTCTCTTCTTCTCCTCTCAAAGGGAGACTGTAGCTGCTAACTCTAGTTTCTCCAAGAGCTTTGGAGTAACCCCACTGCTGGCTGCCAACTGCAAGAAACAGGGCTTGGCACTGGACAGAAAACTCAAGCATGGTGATACCAATCTGGCCTCTAGCATGATATAAGCTCAAATGTTACTCCCAATGTCCATTTTCTATCTCCAGCCCATTCTGCATGCCATATATACAATTGTGAGGTTTCACCTTTAATAAAGCCTACCTACTTTTTAAAAAATATCCCCAGGTCAGTGTTCACAGATCCCTCCAGAACCGAGGGCCAAGAGTTAGCCAAATAATTAATGCCCATGAGACCAAAGGCAGGCTTAGGTCATAGGCAACAAGAAAGGAAAAAGTGGAGATAAAAAATTCCTAGGTTGTATATTTCACAACCCACAAAGGTCTTATACATGTACTATGTTTCCTTTATAAAAATCCCACTAAAGTAGGCTGTAAAGTTGTTCTTGTCCCATTTTATACCTAAGAACCTGAAGGCTGAAAGAGATGAAGGAATTTGTGCAAGCTGCTGTAGCTAATAAGTGGCAGAGCCAGAAGGGATTCTAGTACATGTCATCTGGCTCTAACACTGTGATCTCTGCAGTACCTACTCCCTGGGGAAGACAGAAATGGATGAAAGACTAGGTGATGAGAAATGGAGGAAAAGGAGGACAAAAAGGAGGATGATATGATAGGAATTGATAGAATACTATCAAGTCATTCATTCGGCCTTATGACTTCAAAAGTCTTTGTGTTAGATGTGTGTCCCACGAAAAACCATCTGCCACACAAGCATTAATTTCCTCTGCCTCTCCCCATAGCTTATCAATTATGTAGCTATAGGTGATTATAGCAAGGAAGACCCTTATAAGTCATCCAAACAGCATTATTTTATAGAGGATTGGCATCCCAAAGCAATGAAGAGAACTTCCCAAGAATATACACCTTTCTGTATCTTCTTTTTCAATCAGCAGGGTTTTTTATTGAGCACCTATTACATGTGAGAGAATACAAAGAAGTTTAAGACTATCTCTGCTTTCAGTCAATGTACGGCCTGGATGGGGAACAAAGAGGAATGCAAATGCAATGTAACAGTTAAATGTTGCTGCATGTGGTTCAGATCATAAATCCAATAGAAACTGAAAGCGGCCAACATAGCTGGAGAAGTTTTCCTAGAGGAGATAAATGAGCTAGATTGTAAATAATGTGTAGAATCTGGAAGAAAAGAGCATTCCAGATTGAGAGCATAGCAGGAGCAAAGGCTAGAAGGTGGGAATCCGCGTGTCACATTTTGGGCATGGCAAGAAGATGGGTCCATTTCTGTTGTCTCCCAGGTGTTAGGGAGTTAGGGCAGAAAAAGTTCAAAAGGCTGGGTGGGGCAAGATTGTTAACAGTTGTGAAAGCCAAACAGAGTGCTTACAGTCAGAGAGGTAGGATCTGGTAAAGAAGCAGAAGGTAACATGGTAAAACTGGATTTTAGGAACAGAAATGTGATCCCAATGAGGAGGAGAGAGTAGAACCTGGGAAACCGGTTGGAAGCCAAAAGGGACACAGGAAGGGACTGGGGGACGTGGTGAATTACTGCCCCCCCTCAGCTCCCCTGACAAATGCACACTGAATACTGCCACCTCCAGTCTTCGACCTGGAATGAACAAGGAGCTGCTGAGGATCCTCGTGTCCTACAAAGTCAGAGTCAATCTGATGGTGTCCAGTGGAGGGTGAGTGAGGGTTCAAGGTCTGTCTGAGCAAGCGTTGGGGAAGCTGAGGGTTTCTCCCTTCTGCTTCCCTCCCGATTGGACTGACCCAGTCAAGCTGTTCCCCAGCCTTCTCCCAGATCAGGTTCCCTGTGAGCTCAGTGAGCAAACCACCTTCCCTTCCAGAAACCCATCCTATGGCTAAGTTGATCTCACCCCCCAGTAAAATTAGATTGCCACTTTCCATTTCCAGCTGCTACTGTTATTTTTTTTTTAATTTTTAGAGAGTTTTCTTTATTTCTTTTTAGAGGGAGAAAGCGAGGGAGGGAAGCATCAATGTGTGGTTGCCTCTTGAGCACCTCCTACTGGGGACCTGACCTGCAACCCAGGCACGTGCCCTGACTGGGAATCGAACCAGTGACCCTTTAGTTCTCAGGCCAGCACTCAATCCACTGTGCCATACCCCCCAGGGCCAGCTGTTAACTTTATAGTGTCATTCTACCCTCAGCATCCTAGGCAACCTGACAGCCAGGTAAGAGACTGTGTGGAGAGGGGACAGGGGCAAGAGGGGAGGATGAGGAGGTGAGGAGACTAAAAGAGTGCTAGGGAGTGTGAGGCCATCCGGGATGGGGAAACTGAGGGAGATAGGTTCAGGGAGTGGACTTGAAGGGAAATCTGTAACTCTGCCTTGGGGTCCTTGCAGTGATGTTGGTGTGGAGCCGCCCCTGATCCTGATGCATCCAAAGCCATGTCATGGTGACTGAGCAAGTGGGACTCACAGGAACAGTGGGCCTCCTGGTTGGGGACCAAGCAGTTGTGACCTCATGGGTTCAGAGACTAGCAGTTTGGGTGGAGATTGAATAGCAATAGGCAGGTTGGGTGTCTAGGGAAGTTGTGTGTGGAGGGGAGGATGGCAGAGGGTAAAAACGGGAGGGGGGACAGGAACAAGACATTTCTTCAGAAAATGAAGAGCTTCATTTTCCCCTCCCTCTCCTTGCTTGCTGCAGAGGCTGCTAGGTAAGGAAATGTCAGGCCCAGGAAGTCCCATGCCCTTCCCCACGGCCATCCTCCATTTTATGATGGTAGGAATATGAAAAAGCTTCCTGGAGTATCGCTTTCAATATGTTTGTAGTGAAAACTTATGATTGAGCTTCGTGCCATTGTTTAGTGCTTTGCGGCTGCCCTCCCTTCAGTTTCTGTATTCCCTCTCTCCATCCCTGGTCCTCTCGCGAATCGCCCTCCCCCTTCAAGCCGTCCATTCCTGCTGCCCTCTTGCACTTTCTTCCGTCTTTCATTCTTCGATCCCTTCCCTCCATCCCTCCTCCGTTGTTATTTCCCCTCCAGTGTTCAAGGGGGACATTGGTGTTGGGAGGCTGGGGAAGGGGCAAGTGAAGGGAAACTATCGCGTGTGGTCGATGGGTGGGTGGGTGAGTGAGTGGGGGAGCTACCGAGAGGGGGCAGAGGATCTGAGCTGGGAGGCAGGGAAGGGATTGCTTCTATGATATCGGGAAAAGGAAGGAATGTGGAGGATGCCCAGAAACTGCTTCCTAACCCTGCATGCCCCTCTGCTGCTTCTGCAAGCTCTGAGGACAGACTCATCCAGGAGTTTACCCAGTAGGATCCTGGCGAGGAAGAGAGCCAGGAGGCTTTGGCGGAGGAGGGGGACGAGGGGAGCTGAGCACCTGGCTCTGGCGCTTGCGTGGGAGTGCTGCTGTAATGCTCTAATAAATCAGCTTGTCCACACGTGGCTGGCGATCTCTTTTGCTATCTTCTTCTCCAGGAGGGTAACGGAACTACTGAGGATGAGCGCCCCCTTCCTCGTCAATAATTAGATCACCCTGTAGCAGGTGCTTTCCACGTAAATGACCCTAGCCTTCCTTCTGGCATGCTGCCAGCCCTCTGTGAGTCCTTCAAGTTTCCCTCTGGGTGCCACCCACTGCTTTGGAGGAGGGACCTGCTGCAGCTGCCTGCCAGTGGGCACAGCTATGCTCCCAGGCCGAGGGATGGTGCAAAGGTGATTTGAATAGTGGTTGGACAGAGAACACTGTGTGATTTCAGGCAGCTGGCCGCAATACACGCCTTCACACACAGCGAGGCCCACTGCAAGGACGGAAGCTTGGGCCTGGAAACTATCCAGGGACCGCCCCCCGCCCACCCCCACCCCAGCCCTCCTCCCCACGCCTGCAATGGTGTCTGTGTAAATCCAAACTCCTGTTCCTGGAGCAGCAGGGCGGTGGGAGGTCTCAGTTGGGCTTGTGGAGTAAGATCTGACAGTATGGAATGGTGTAGAAGGTTCTCGGGAGAATTAATTTCCTCCTTGACCATCCCAACAAATACTTTATTTATCTGCCTCACAGTGGGGCACCCGCTTCATGATCCAGAGCTTCAACTGCACTGGCCAGCTGAGCCCACCACCAAGGCTCATGCGGTAGGTTTTGTCCCCTTCTGAGCTCCACTCACTCACCCAGGAATTCTCCTCCTCAAAGTTACCTGTTGTAAGTGTTAACAAATTGAGCAAGATCACCTTCTCAAGGTCGTTCTCCAATTACAGTTCTAAGGCTGCCTGGTATTGGGGGTAGAGGAGAGGTACAGAGCGAGTCTCTCTCCTTTGCAGGCAACCATTGGAATTGACTTCCTGTCTAAGACAAGGTACTTGGGGGACTGAATAGTGCAGGTTCACGCTCTATCACTAACCTTCTATGTCAACCCTTTAGGCATATGCATTACCACCCTGGACTATTTGTGGATAAAGAAGAGAAGGAGCCCTGGCTGGCGTAGCTCAGTGGATTGAGCGCGGGCTGTGAACCAAAGCATCGCAGGTTCGATTCCCAGTCAGGGCACATGCCTGGGTTGTAGGCCACGGCCCCCAGGCCTCCAGCAACCATATATTGATGTTTCTCTCTCTCTCTCTGTCTCTCTCTCTCTCTGTCTCTCTCTCTCGCCCTCCCTCCCTCCCTCCCTTCCCTCTCTAAAAATAAATAAATAAAATCTTTTTTAAAAATCACATTTCCTTTAAAAAAAAAGAAGAGAAGTAAAAGCATGAAGCCTCCTCAAATTACCAACCCTTCCCTGTTTCTCGTTCTCTCTATCCTCATCTGGACTCCAACTATAACGCAGACAAAATCCAAGAGCTCTTGAATCCTTAGATCTGCTGCCCTATAGGGTCTTCCTTAATGGAAACAGTACATTGACATTGGACCTGTCCTAGGATGGTTTGTGGCTATAGTAGCCACTTTTTAGGGGCCCAGTTTCCTTGACTCTTTTTATTTTTCTTTTATTAACTTCTAGCCTTTCACAGCCTAGTTTCTTGTCTACCTTTGTCTGCCTTTGTCTTATGCAGGTTCAACTGCAACCACGGGACACAACTGGCCAGAAGCCCTTTTGCAACCTAATTCCTAGCTGCATTATGCTTTTTAAAAAGATTTTATTTACTTATTTAGAGAGCGAGGGAAGGAGGGAGGAAGCGAGGGAAACATCCATGTGTGCTTGCCTCTCACACGCCCCCTACTGGGGATCTGGCCCACAACCCAGGCATGTGCCCTGACTGGGAATGGAAGGGGCGACCCTTTGGCTCCCAGGCCAGTACACAATCCGCTGAGCCACACTAGCCAGGGCCCTAGCTACAATATGATTCAATTATCACAGGGGTTGTCTATGACATCACAAGGGGGTGCTGTTTGAAAAACAGATTGAGGTAAGCAATAGGGAGGTTGATAGAAATAGCAGAGAAGAAGGGCAGGTACTTTATTCTCTCCAAAACTTCACTAAATGTTTCAACACTCTGCAATACATTCTCTTGTACATATCATGCTTTCAAAGAGACAGATAAGTGGGCAGATGTTCAGGCAGAAAGAGGTGATGATGTCGTCATCATGTTGATGGGTAACAAGATTGATCCAAACAAAAGCTATAGTGTAACTACAATTTTTTTCTGCCGTACCTAGAGATCAGTCTCTATGGGGAGGGTCTACTATGCTGTTTACTCAGGAGGAGTTACCAGTGTCAGGGATCAGAAAGGTCATGGGTTCAAGGCTTCTAGGGTTTCTGGTACTAGGGAGGCATCATTACACCTCAGAAAGATCTAGTCCTATCCGCTCTGAGTCGGAAAGGGTCTTACTATTGTCTGGTCCCTTATGTAATTCCTCATTTGTCAAGGCACGTCTCTGCAGAAGAGGGGGAAGAAAAACCCAGAGACCTCAATGTGATGTTTGTTGAAACCGGTGCTAAAACCAGGTGCAACGTGCAAAATAACCATCCCTTACGGTAATTCCATGGCACTCCTGGCTCTGGCCACCCACCGCTGCTTCCTCTTTTGGGTAATCTTGGCTTGTCCTATTGTGGAGTAGGAGTAATGTTCATGTCCCCATTATACAGAGAAAAGGCCCAGAATCATGTCTTTGAACCTGACCTCCCTTTTTTTCCCCCTTTTGCACATCACCATTCTCTCCCTCCACCCCCATTCCCTCTCTGTCTCTTTCTCACAGCTATTCCTGTGCATGGCTTCTGGCCTTCCTTCCGAGAGTGATTCATCCCCACTGAAGGAAGAAGAGTGTCCTTTCTTCCAGCTTTGCTGGAGTGGGGAGTGTACAAGCAAAGCAAACTTCCCTTGCTGAGTTGATGGCCAGCCAATTTTTCTCCCTGATATTTAAGAGGCAAGGGACTAACTTCAGTCCAAAGGAGCTCCCTGGTTCACCTGTAGGTGAAGGGGATTGTAAAGTCAGAATTCCTCTTCTGTGTCTCCTAGAAGCTGCCCCTGGGAGTTGAGATGTGGCCGCAGTCCCCTCTCTCTTACCTTCCTTAACACACTTCAGTGGTTAAAATCTACCTGGAGCCCTCCGATGACTCAGGCATCGAAAGCCACTGTTCCTGTTGATAGCTTCATTTTTTAAAAACAAATTTTATTTTTTAGAGATGGGGGAGGGAGGGAGAAAGCGGGAAACATTGATGTGTGAGCAATCCATTGATCAGTTGCCTCTCTCACGTCCCCAGTCAGGGACCTGGCCCACAACCCAGGCATGTGCCCTGACCAGGAATTGAACTGGTGATCTTTCAGTTCGAGGGATGACATCCAACCCACTGAGCCACACCAGCCAGGGCTGTCCGCCTAATTTGATCCATTTATTGCATTTGGGCTTTTCAGGACCAGTCCTTCCCCCTCCATCCTCAGGGTTATGGTTTAAATACTTGGCCAGTTACTAAGCTCCGGTCCAATTCTGGGGCTTAGAAGTAAAATGGAAGCCCTGGAAGTGCCATCATGTCTTCCATGACAGCATCTCACGGCTATAGGTGGTAAGTTCTTGCAGGGCTTAGGAATCCCACCTCGCCTTCTCTGACCGCCAAGACACCTATAGGGGATGCGGTTCTACAGCACCTGGGGTACCTCGAAGGCTGATACAGTTCATTCTCAACTGCTTTCTTATCAACACTCTCAATAAACAACTGGTCCTTTCGCCTCAGCCTATTACTCCTTGTGCCTTCTCCACGCTCTACCTATACTTCCATAATGCAATTGTGTCATCTGGTGCTCCAAGTACTGCAGAGCAAGAACCAGTTTAGGGCAGGAGGGGTTTTGCCTCTTAGGCCTATGGTACCCGGCTGGGTCTTTTTACAGTTCACTACTCTTAGATGAGTTGTTAATCACAGGGAGAGGCTTGGATCTCAACATTGAGTCCATTCACTCAATGTGCCTGTGTGCAAGCGTCTTTCCCAGATGGCCACTAGGGGGCAGGAGAGCAACAAGGATTGCCCAGGAAGCACAACAGCTAAAGGAGTTCTATGTCCAGCTCTGCTCACAAGAATGTTGCTACCCAACAGTGGCACCAAGCCTCTATGTATCACAGAAGAGCTGGGACGGAATTTCTAGGAAGAGCCAGAACTTCCTCATAGAGATATATTGCTACTATTTAGAACGGTTTCCCATAGTTGAAGACCAATTTACCTTATTTCAAATTTTCAGGCTCCACCTTGGACCATCAGAATCACTCTCCAGGGGAAGGCCCTGGAAGTATTTAAGCTCTCTAGGATTCTTTCAAGGCAAATTTGGGACTTTCATCACAGGGGCACTTCATCCGTATCTCACTAGAAAACTAGCTATTCTGAATGGGCATTTTGAACATGGTATACAGTGTGGCGTGGAATCTCTAACAGTAGACTGTAAGCAAGGAACTCAGAACCTGGCAGCTTATTTGGGGGCTGGGGTAAAGGAAAGGGGGACGTTAGCTGTCAGTACTACTCAACCTACAACTTGGAAATTGGGAACCAAATTCTTACTGCTGTCCCTGAAAAGAAATGCATCTAAGGCCCTCCCTTAGTTTATGTTCCAGATCATAGAATCAGGGAAAAGAGAAGACAGAACTATATTAATACTGTACCCTGCAGAGAAATGTCCCAAGATCATGGGGAAAAGGCACATTTCCTCCACTATCCCTCCACCCGATCCGATACCATCCCTCAGTTATACTGCAGCTAAGGTTCCCAGGCCTCCCTGATGTTCTGGGCAGATAGAGACAATTGTGAAGCAGGTGTAGCATTGCTCTGTTACTTCCAGCGGCTCCTCTTTGGAAGAGCTTTTATGTTTGCCTCGAAAGTATTTTACACTCGGTGAGTATCATCCAAAAGTCACACTAACATTTCTTCAGCATCACGTTTTACTTTTTTGGAGAATAGGAGGGGCAGGAGGGAAAACGGGGTCCCCTTGGAGTCTCCAAAGTGTATGAGACTCTGTGAGAGTGTATGTGGCTTCCCTGAGGCCTGGCCAGCTTGTCCTAGAAGATTCCAAGTGGCTGGCTGTGGCTTGCAACTCTCTAGTGTACAGTCCTCTCTTTTTGGCGATGATAATCTGGGGGAAAGAAGAAAGACAAGGAGGAAAAAGCAGGTGATTTTCAAGCCTGAGCTCCCAATTCCCCACTCCCACCAACTCATGGGGCCTCCAGCAATCAGGATTTAAAAGAATTCCTACTGCTGGCCCTTCCAGGTAAGGGACACTTACTGTAGGGAAAGAAGCGGACACGCATGCTGATTTCCCGGGCTGTCTTCAGGATCTCAACAGCCTGAAAGAAACACAACAGCTTGTACAAATAAGATATGACTCAGGACAGAATAGCAAGAGGAAGAAAGTCCTTTGCCACTCCAGCCTTCTGGATCACTAATAGCTGCTTTCCTCCAGTACACATCCTCAGGAGAGATTCTTTCTTATGAAGTTGCACACAGAATGAGCAAATCCCGTCTGATCTGTCCTACTTGGGATCGCTTCCTGCCTCACCACAGCCCAAGCGCTGTGCTCACCTTGCTATGCTCAATATCTTGGAAGTCCACATCATTCACAGCCAGGACTTGGTCCCCTTCCTGAAGTCCTGCTCGATGTGCATCAGAGTCAGGGATCACCTGTTGGGAAGGAGAGACTATGTGATTGAGGTGCTATGCAAATGGAAGGTGCTACTGTTTGTGTGTGTGTAAATGTGGGGAAACATGCTTGCCAGGTTGGAAGTGTTTTTGTTTTTTAAGATTTTATTTATTTTTAGAGAGAGGAGAAGGGAGGGAGAGAGAGAGGGAGAGAAACATCCACGTGCTAGAGAAACAGTGATTGGTTGTCTCTTGCACATGCTCAGACCAGGGACTGAACCCACAACCCCAGCATGTGCCCTGACCAGGAATCGAACCAGTGACCTTTTTGCTTTGCGAGATGATACCCAAACAACAAAGCCACACCGGTCAGGGCCCAGGTGGGAAGTTTTAAGTGGGAAAGGTCGTTCCCATTATGCCCTTCCTATGAGTCTACAAAATCATCCTTCTCCAAGGCCTTGAGACATCATGATTCTGCAATATAACAAAGGGAAATAGCTACCCATATTGCCTACCAGGTGCACGCACCTTGGAGATGAAGATGCCTAGCTGGGAGGCCTTTCCTCCTCGGATGTTGAATCCCAACTGCAAGACAAGAGCACAGAATGGGGGCTCAATATAGACCACAGACACAAGAATATCTAGTAGCATCACTATATGATAGCTGGGATACGTGTCCCTCAGAGAGAAGTCAGAAGTTGTGGAAGTTGCATCTCAGCTTTTCTGCCCAATAAAGGTAGTTTCCTCACCTCCTTACCTGCTTTTAAATCTGTCCTCCCAACCACGGGTAAGTTCTGGGCCCAGTATGGACAAATCTAGACTGGTATAAGATGAATTGTACTTGTTCCACAAGCTCACCTGAGCTCCAGGGGGCTTCTTCAGTGTCACAGTTCGGGGCAGAAACTGGGTCAACTCATTGTTGTAGTCTGGGTGGTATACCCTCTGCAAGACACAGCAACCCCAGAAATCTTACTAGCGGTTTTAGACTTTATGTCCACTTTCATCCAGAACACACATGTATCTCCCTGAAGTTAGGAAAAGGTCAAGTCATGGACTTAATTTAAATAGACCAGATAACACTGTCCAAATGGACTGATGGATAGCGTGGGGACATGCTAGCAGTCCAGTGGCTCCCCACTTCTTTGCCTTGAGAGAATGGAAACTGGGGCTCTGAGTATCCAGAATTCTGTGATGTGAATGGACTCTGGCAGAAGGATTCCATAAGAAGCGTCCAGTGGACCCAGTTGCTCAGAATCCAACTTCTGGATCCCTTGGCTACAACAAAGGCTGATTCATTCTCCCTCGAGCTTTCTAACCGTGCTATCCTATGTCTAATATGTCATCTTATGCCCATGGGGGAAAATCTGCTATTCAAGAGTACAGATGGTTCCCACCTCATGAGGAGGAATCCATGCTGGGGGATTCTCATAGGCTGGCAGGAAAACCACTGGGTAGTCATCATAAGGAATCCGGCTGTCCATCTTTGGCAAGGCTCTGGAATGGAAGGGTGAATCGAAGCTGATAAAAATGGCTCAAAGGGGACAGCAGCCTAGCAACTTTCAAAAAACAAATCCAACCTATCCCAGGCCGTCATCCTATGGTCCTAGCCCACTTCTAGGGGACAGATAGGTGGAAAGAGGAAAGAAAAAAGATGGAAGAAAACAGTGAATTTTACTGGATATCTGGATGTCAAACAACCTGCTAGGTCCTGTATAGAGATGATCTTTCTTATAACACTCCTGCGAAACAGATGTTACTGTCTTCAACTTACAGAACAGGCAAGCAAGAGTGCGTCTAAAAAGATCTATTTTCGAAATCCGAGGGAGTGCCGACTCCAACGATCCACAGGGAGTCGAGGCAAGGCACCGCCCCACATTCTGTAGATGTGATCGGTAATGGTGGAGATCCCCAGACCGACCCTTCCTTCACCACTAGCCACCTCTGAATACGCTCCTCGCATCCGGCCTGAGCCCCGCGTATTCCTAGCAGTAACTGCCGTACTATCTCACCCGCCAACAAGCCTCAGCCAGCTCAGGTTCCACTCGCTGCCAATTCAGCCCGAGAACCGGAAGCAGATGCCGTGAATGGCAGGTAGGGGCGGGATCAGCGTGCGACGCGCAGGCCCAGAGCTTCCCAAGAGCGTCCCTCACCGCACGCAGACGCGCTGGCGGCTCCCGCTGGCCGTCTGCGCTCCGATTGGCTGGCGCCTCCAGGACTAATTTGAAACTTGGCGGTTAAATCTCCGGCTGGAACAGGGCAACAGGACACCGGGGAAGGTACGTTTAGTTTGGCGAGTTAAGGGGACACGACTTAGCCCAGGATTTGCCTTTCCCGGTACCCTGGGGCAGTGGGTCCTTGTCATCGTCTCCGCCGGGGGTTTTCCTTTGCATTTCAGAGGCCACTTCGCTGTCTTCAGAGTGTTGGACTGTGCGACAGTCCTGCGGTGGCCAAATTGGAGGGAAAGTGACTCTCCAGCGCCAGCGATCCCGTTGCAAGGAGGAGGCTCCCTCACCTAACGCGGAGTCCCGCAAACCATCTCCCACCCCCAGCGGAGGGCCGGAACTAAGGGAGGAGCCCTCCCACCCCTGCGAACCCACCCAAGACTCATCAGCAAGCCTATTTTCTTTTGTTCCCCTCACAGACGGTGCTGAGGTAGGATGATGAAGGAAGAGGTGAAGGGAATTCCTGTAAAAGTGGCCCTGCGATGTCGCCCTCTGGTCCCCAAAGAGATTAGTGAGGGCTGCCAGACGTGCCTTTCCTTCGTACCCGGAGAGCCGCAGGTGCGTAGCAGAGTCCGGGGCCGGCGTCTGAAAACCTGAGGCCAAATGACAGTGAGGGGCGTGGTCTGGCCATTCGTTATTTTCTTACTCCTTGTCCCTGTCCCTTGCCTTCTCTAGGTGGTGGTTGGTAACGACAAATCCTTCACCTACGATTTTGTGTTTGACCCCTCTACTGAACAGGAAGAAGTCTTCAATACAGCAGTAGCACCACTCATAAAAGGCATATTTAAAGGTGAGGCTGCTCCGTTCTCCAAATGGTTCTTGAGCGTATACTTTGTGTCAGGTAATGTGCTTGGATGTTACAAATGCAGGAATGGATGAAACATGAGTCCTGCCTTCAGAAAGCCCACAGCCTAGGAATTAGTGCAATATAACTTGGGAAACAATCGTGTGCCCTTGAAACTAGTTTTGTGCTCTATTTGCTTTCTGTAGTTCTGCTGCGCCTTCACTTTTATGTATTCTGTTTTTGTTTGTCTTGGGACCTCATTAGATTCGAAGCTCTTTGATGGGTGCTGGTGATAATCAGTTGCCAATCTACTTGAGGCCCATGCACTTGCAAGACCTGTGTAAGGATTTAGAGATAAATAATATAGCTTCCAGGCCCTGGAGGAATGCAAACCTCAGGGGTAGGAATAGAAGTAGATGGCCACATACATAATTTTTGCTGCATTGACAATTTTAAACTTTTTGCACCCATCCTTTTTTAAAGATTTTTATTAATTTTAATTTTAATTTTTAAGGATTTATTTATTTATGTTTTAGACAGAGGGGAAGGGAGGGGGAAGAGGGAGAGGGAAACATCAATGGGTGGTTGTTTCTCACACATCCCCCACTGGGGACCCGGCCTGCAACCCAGGCATGCGCCCTGACTGGGAATTGAACTGGCGACTCTTTGGTTTGGAGGCCAGCGTTCAATTCACTGAGCCACACCAACCAGGGCTATTTTTTTTATCATTTTTTATTGTTATGCTATTACAGTTGTCCCGGTTTTCCCGTTTGCCCTCCTCCGCCCATCCCACCTCGCTTCCCACAGTCAGTTCACACAGTTGTCCATGTTTATGGATTATTCATACATTTCCTTCAACTAGTCCCTTCCCCTTCTTTCCACCATTATCCCTCTACCCCCTGCCCTCTGGTTGTTTTAAGTCTGTTCCTTGTTCCCATGCCTGTGGTTCTATTTTGTTCATTAGGTTCCTGTTACAGATGAGATCATATGGTATTTGTCTTTCACAGACTGGCTTATTTCCATGCTCTCCAGTTCTATCCAAGCTGTTGCAAAGGGTAGGAGATCGTTCTTTCTTTCTGCTGCATAGAATTCCATTGTGTGAATGTACCACAGTTTTTTGATCCACTGATTTGCCGATGGGCACCTAGGTTGCTTCCAGCACTTGGCTGTTGTAAATTGTGCTGCTATGAACATTGGGGTGCATAGGTTCTTTTGTACTGGTGTTTCAGGATTCTTAGGGTATCTTCCCAGCAGTGGAATTGCTGGGTAAAAAGGCAGTTATATATTTTTAGTTTTTTGAGGAAATTCCATACTGTTTTCCACATGGCTGCACCAGTCTGCACTCCCATCAACAATGCACTAGGGTTCCCTTTTCTCAACAACTGTGCCAGCACTTATTGTTTATTGATTTGTTTATGATGTCCATTCTGACTGATGTGAAGTGGTATCTCATTATGTTTTCATTTGCATCTCTCTGATGGCTAGTGATGCTGAGCATCCTTTCACATGTCTCTAGGCTCTCTGTGCGTCTTCCTTGGAGAAGTGTCTGTTCACGTCCTTAGCCTATTTTTTTTTATTGGATTGTTTGTCTTCCTGGCATGGAGTCGTATGAGTTCTGTGTATATTTTGGAGATCAAACTCTTGTCCGATATATCATTGGCAAATATGTTCTCCCATACAGTTGGTTCCCTTTTCATTTTGGTGATGGTTTCTTTAGCCTTGCAGAAACTTCTTAGTTTGATGTAGTCCCATCTGTTTATTTTTCCTTTATTTCCCTTGCCCTAGGAGATATATCAGCAAAAATATTGCTACATGGCATATCTGAAACTTTCCTGCCTATGTTTTGCTCTAGGACTTGTATGGTGTCATGACTTATATTTAAGTATTTTATCCAGTTTGAGTTTATTCTGGTGTGTGGTGTAAGTTGGTGGTTCAGTTTCATTTTTTTGCACATACCAGTCCAGTTTTCCCAACACCCATTTATTGAAGAGACTATTTTTACTCCATTGTATGCTCGTGCCCCCTTTGTCAAATATTAATTAACCATAAAGACCTGGATTTATTTCTGGATTCTCTATTCTGTTCCATTGATCTATGTGTCTATTCTTATGCCAGTACCAAACTGTTTTCATGTTATTTATTTACTTTTAGAGAGAAGGGAAAGGAGGGAGAAAGAGAGGGAGAGATACATCGATATGAGAGAGAAACATCGATCAGTTGCCTTTTTGTGCCCCAACTGGAGACCTGGCCCGCAACCCAGGCATGTTCCCTGACTGGGAATCGAACCTGTGACTTTTTGGTTCACAGTATGCTATCTAACCCACTAAGCTACACCAGTCAGGGCTGCACCCATCTTTAAGGAAAAATATTTTAGAAGTTAAAAATACACAATAGAATCAATCAGCCCTGTTTTAAAAGAAGTAGTGCTTTCGTGCAAAGTAGTATGAAAACCAGAAGGATGATACTAATTCTACTTGGGAAACCTGGAATGAATTTCACAGCATAGGAGACCTTTGAGGTAGGTATTGATTGATAAGTAGAAGTCTTTTAGGTAAAGAGTGAGATTTCCTAAAGTGCCTGGATACTCTGGCTGGTTAATAATCCTTATTGCAGCCTTGGCTGGTGTGGCTCCATGGGTTGGGCATAGTACTGTAAAGCGAAGGGTCGGGGGTTCAATTCCCAGTCAGGGCGCATGCCTGGGTTGCGGGCCAGGTCCTCATCAGGACGTGTATGAAAGGCAGACAACCGATGTTTCTCTCTCACATTGATATTTCTATTCCTCTCTTTCTCCCTCCCTTCCTTTCTCTCTAAAAATAAATAAGTTTTAAAAAGCTTTTCAAAATCTTTATTGCAGAAGCTAAGGCTTTAGTATTATTCAAGACAATAGCAGGATTCTGAAGAAAGGAGCCGTGCCTGAGAGGTCTTTAATATTGTTCTAGGACAGTGGTTATTCAAGATTCAAAGCAGAGCTCTATTTAAAAGAAGTAGAACCGTGACATACTAGACCCTTAAAGTTGAACAGGACATTTATGGCACCTAGTCTAGCTTCTCTTCCAAAGAAAAATGCCTTGTAGCAATATCTGTGTAAAGTGAACTTCCAATGTCTGTTTGAGTTTTTTTGGACAGGAAATTCACTGACTCACAGGGTAGTCCTGTTGATTGGTTTTTGGACTACTCTAATTGCATTAGGTTGCATTGAGGTGAAATTTGCCTCCTAGTAATAATTTGTACCCAGTGATGTTAGTTCATCTCTCCAGACAAACAGCAGCCTTCTTCCAGGCAATAGCTATCCACAATTTTTTTTTCACTTTTTAAGTGATGTCATGACTGGGCACCTTGAATACTGTATTTCAAATTTTTTTTAATATTAAAGCAATAATCTCTAACTTATAGAAGTATTGTAAGAATAGCATAAAAAGTTTTTTTCCTGAACAATTTGAGGTAAGCTGTTGACCTGATGCCCCTGGATACTTCATTGTATATTTGCTATTATCAAGGACTTTCTCCTACATAACTATAATACAACCATCAAAATCATGCAGTTAGCTCTGGCTGGTGTAGCTTAGTGGATTGAGCGTGGGCCTGCAAACCAAAGGTTGCCAATTCGATTCCTAGTCAGGGCACATGCCTGGGTTGTGGGCCAAGCCCTCAGTAGGGGGTGTGCAAGTGGCAACCACACACTGATGTTTCTCTCCTTCTCTTTCTCCCTTACCCTCTCTCTAAAAATAAACAGGTAAAATATTTTTTAAAAATCATGAAATTAGCATTGCTACATTTCTACCATCCAGTCCTCAGACCTCATTCAAGGTTTACCAATTGTGTCAATTTTGTCCTTTATAGCAGAGGGTCTAGTTCAAAATCAGTTGTATTTAGTTGCACTGCCTCTGTAGTTTCCTTCATTCTAAAATTTTTTACTCTTTTTTGACTTTCATAATCATGACACTTTTGAAGATCACAGGCCAGTTCTTTTATAAACCATTTTTTTCAATTTTGGTTTATCTGATGTTAATTTATGATTAGATTTCCATTCTTTATCTTTAGCAGAAATATCACAGAAGTAGAGATGTATTCTTTTTAACCCTGTCAGTCAATACATGATTTTGATTTGTCCCATTTCTGCTGATGTTCACTCTGAGATCTTGTTTGGAGGTTCTAGCAGGGGAGCATAGCAATTCTTGTACCCTTGACTGAAGAATGGTCCTCTCCTCTATCAGGGAAGGTCGTCCTTCTCGATGGAGCACACAGTTTCAGGAGGGACGAACATGGAGCAGTGAGGCAGGAAGGGGACACCTGCCTCGCCAGCCAGATCAGCCGAATCAACCCTGGTGATCAATGGGGTGACAAGATGTCACAGCCAGATCGCCCTCACATCCTGATGTTCATTTTGATCATTTGATTTAGGTGGTATCTGCTAGGCTTCTCCACTATAAAGTTACCCTTTTTCCTACTTACATATATGCAAGACCGTTACATGATTCCACAGCTCTTCTAATTAACCATGCCTCCTCTCCTTTAGCCATTCCTGAAATAAGATGGTTTCCAGAGCCTTCATTCTCTGTTCATCTTCCTCAGAGTGTACCACCATAGCTTAGTAAGAGTACCACAGTTCTACTTTCCTATCTTTAACTTGGGAAACTATGAGAATTACAGTATAGTCTTTAGACGCAATATAATATAGAAAAAGATTCCAATGTACATGAATGTGGTTAACATTGCTCTGCAAAGACAAACTATTTTTTTTTTCAGTTAGCTCCACAGCAGCCCCTCGTACTCTGAACTCCCAATACCGCAGAGCCCTGAGTATTTTGTAGAAAGTACTAGAACTTGGTTTCCCCAGTTATCACTATATACACACATCTATAGTATTGCAGAAGATTATAGAATGTTATTCTCTTGACCCATAGGCCTGCCATACTATACTGTACCAGGCCATCCTAGCAATCTGTTAGTGAAAATCTCAATTTCACATCTTAAGATTTTTTAGAATATCTAGGTCTTCATTTATACAAACAAGTTCTTTCAAAAAGAAAAAAGCAAAGGGCATATATCCCATTGAATGACACTTAAATGATGACATTCCTATTAGGACCCCGATACTGTGGTCCAGATGCAGCCTGGGAGTTCAGATAAGGAGCAGATGCTTTCATTGTCTGTAAGAAGCAACTTTGTTGCCTTTTCAAATGACGACTGTTACGCAAGAATATACATGTTTGAATCCCTTCTATTTATGTAGCTTCTAGGACTTTCATTTAATTCTCAAAATTTAGAATTTCTCGAAGTAGACAGAAAGTAGGATTACAAAGCTCTGGATGGCTTTTTGGCAGGGACTTGGCCATCCTCATGATGGCCGTCAGATCCTCAAGTGTTTTACTTCCTATCTTTTGAGAGCTATCAAGAAGGGCACACATTCTGGTTTTGGTTTTTTTTTTCTTTTTTCTTTGCTTATTTGGAGCAGTACAAAGTCATGACACCCAGATGACTTTTCTCTGTGGCTGTTGTTCATAAGAGACCCTTATCTTAAGAGAGCAGTCTCAATTTGTAATCGCCAAAGGAAAAGGAGTGTATTGATTGGATGAGAACATTTGAGCACCACTATGCGTGTGACTTCTGTTTTGCCAGGATACAATGCAACGGTCCTGGCCTATGGACAGACTGGTTCTGGAAAGACCTACTCCATGGGAGGTGCATACACTGCAGAGCAAGAGAATGAACCAACAGTTGGGGTCATTCCTCGGGTGATACAAATGCTCTTCAAAGAAATTGACAAGAAGAGTGACTTCGAATTTACGCTGAAGGTGTCATACTTGGAGGTAAATGATTTGTCTTGAATTATTCTGAGTTTAAATTTATCTTTGGGTAGAAAAAGAAGTCGGAATCAGGTTTTTCCTGGCATCGCAAAAACTAATAAATTGCATTTTTAGTAAATTACATTTTTATAAACTGATAGAGAAAACTTACTGGCTCAGTTGGATCTGGCTTGCACCCAGTTCTTCCCTTGTTGTCAAAATAGTCTGTTTAATCTGATTGTTAGAGGAGTTGGCATTGCCATATAAAAAGATGACAGGAGTTCTGTTAATTCCAATTTGGCCTCTTATTGATTCTCTGTAGAGTCTACAGAAAAATATTTGATTTGCCTTTACTGTTTTGAGGCTTAAGCAATCATGCTGCTATTTTGTGAAGAATGTTCTAAAAATTGGGGGACATATTGAGTTGTACAGGTGATGATAGAATGTGTTTATTCGACGGATATTTATTGAGCACCTACTATGTTATAGACCCTGTTCTAGGTACTTGGGTTATATCAGTCAACAAAACAGAAAAGTCCCTGTCCTTGTGGGTATCTTCATTCTAGTGTATATCAATGTAGAAGTACGTTGACTAGTTACAGCTAACCTCGTGACACCAAAAACACTTGTCTAGGGAACTTCCGGCTTCTGGGAAACTAGCTGGTTGGTTCCATAGCAGGGATAAGATGCCTCATCTTTAAGGAGCAATAATTAAAGTGCGGCGATGTAAGGATGCAATTGTAAATTGTACGTAAATACATCATCCTGAAGTTGACTCCTAATGGGTATAGGAGGTATAGAGTTTGAAGGTGGAGAGGCACACATCATTAAGGTTAGCCTTCTTGAATCTTCATGAACCCAGTTGTGGTCAAGGTAATCAAATGAAAAAAGAACTTCAGAGCCTGGTATGTCAGATAGTCGCCACAGCAGTAACAGCAAACAAGTAGAGTGCTGACACTGTGCTAAACACTGTTCTAAATACTTAAAGTCCTGCTTGTTGTTGAAATACTGGTTGCTACTTCTTCCTTTTGCTTCCCGCGTCCACCCTCTATTAAGGATTTGTTACTTACAGCTTAATAGAACCGGTGAAGGTGACACTGTTAGGACACCATGAAAGAACTGAATTTGGGCACCCATGTTACTTTCATTGTCTGCTATTCCTAAGAGACTCCGTCTTGAGAAAGCAGTCTCGATTTTGTTATAGTAACGTGTGAATTCATTTCTTGCAAGTATCAAATGTTTGCCTGTAGGGTTAAAGCCCTTTTCTTAATTAAAAATATGATATGTGTATTGTAAGAATGTTTTAGAACAAAATCACAAAGAACTTAAAAATCATCTCTGATCCCACCACCCTGAGATTACCCTGTTAACATCTTGTTTTCACTACTTTATTTTCAATGATACCAGATTTACAATGAAGAAATCTTGGATCTTCTCTGCCCACCTCGTGAGAAAACCTCTCAGATAAACATACGAGAGGATCCTAAGGAAGGCATAAAGGTGTGTTTGTTGTTGTTGTTATTATTATTATTTAAAAATGTTGTTCGCTACTAAAGTTCACATCTCTTTTATTTGCCACTGTAGTTTTAAATGACTACTAACATCCTTCAGATTTTGTGTGGTCCCGATTGCCTTTGTTAATCTAGAATTCCTACATGGGATCTCTTGGAGGGAAGGATATTTGATCACCTTCCTGTTACCTCTTGAAGGAATACTAAAATCAATTAAATATTTACAGGATTAGCCATTTACAGAGTTCTAAGGCTTTGATGTCCAGTATGGTAGTCACTAGCCACAAATGGCTGTTTAAACCCAAATGAACTAAAATTGAATAAAATTTATAATTCAGTCCCTTAGCTCTGGCCAGCATGGCACAGTTGGTCGGGCATTGTGTCAGAAAGTGAAGGGTTGCCGGTTCAGTTCCCAGTTGGGGGACATGCCTGGCTTGCGGGCCTGGTCCCCAGCTATGGGCGTGAGAGAGGCAACCGATCAGTGTTTCTCTCTCACATCGATGTTTCTCTCCCTCTCATTCTGCCTACTTTCCCCTATAAATGAATGAATGAATAAATGAAATCTTTTTAAAAAAATTCGGTCCCGCCCTGGCTGGTGTGGTTCAGTGGTTGAGCACCAGCCTGTGAATCAGAGGGTCACAGGTTCGATTCCCAGTCAGGGCACATGCCTGGGTTGCGGGCCAGGTCCCCGGTAGGGGGTGCGCAGGAGGCAGCCATACATTGATGTTTCTCTCCCTCTCCTTCTCCCTTCCTTCTCCTCTCTAAAGATAAATAAATAAAATCTTTAATAAAACAATTCAGTCCCTCAGTTACACCAGACACACATGAAGTACTCAATAGCTACGTGTGGCTGGTGGCTACTATATTGGACAACACAGATATAGAACTTACCCATGGTCAAAAAATTCTGTTGGACAACCCTGGAATAGACATTGAGCTAGGCTCTGGAGTGATATTTAACAATTGAAAAGTTAACCAACATAACCTTTTCAGAATTCATAAGTACCATAGGACAAAGATCACTTATTTGAGAGGCTTATGTCACATGGCAGTCGCAGGATGCGGAGGTATAGCTGAACAGAAATTTTTTTTTTAATCTTAATGTTCTTTCTTTTTTCAAAAAATATTTTATTTATTTATTTTTAGAGAGGAAAGGGGAGGAAGAAAGAGAGGGAGAGAAACATCAATGTGTGGTTGCCTCTCATGTGCCCCTACTGGGGATCTGGCCTGCAACCCAGGCATGTGCCCTGACTGGGAATCGAACCAGCGACCCTTTGGTTCACACACTGGCACTAAATCTACTGAGCCACACCAGCCAGGGCTGAACAGAAAATTTGAGGCAACATAGGGAGTTTTGTATATGGGAATGGTCCAAATCCAGAAGCCAATGTTGAAAACAGGCAGAGCTTGGGTCTAGCACCACTCCTGAATATTCAGGAGTGGGAGAATCTGATGCTGGAAGTGGATGAACATAGGTAGTACAGATTTGGGAAAACTTGACAAAATAATATCTTGCCCATCTTTCTCTCCTTCCTCTCTTCCCTGCACAGAAAGGTAAAGCTTTAGGGGACAGGTGCCTGAGAGGCAGGTGCTTTTTTTTTTTTTTTTCCTTCTGGGTTGTTAAGCCATTAACCAAGTGCAAAAGCAGGGCTTGAAGGATCAGACTCATTTCAAAAGCCTGATGAGCTTGGAATACAGGAAGACAGTTTGAATAGTGGGAATAAGAAACCTGGGCCAAACACATGCTGTCTGTCACCAGAAAGAATGTTGGTAGTAAGCCAGCCCTTGACCAGATTCCAAGATGTTTTATATGCCCCATGCTGCAGCAGGAATTAAAGCCTAAGCATTATTTGAGATGAAATTTGCAATACAAAGAAGTGTAGGTTTCTGACTTAAATTGGGGTGGGTAAGGACAACTCTGTTAACGCTTTTCAGATGAGATGAATGGAATGTAGGTAAGTAGAGCAAAGAGTAAGGGTATTGTTGTAGTAAGGAATAGTTTAAACAGGAAAGCAGAAAATATACTCCTAGGGGTAATAAGACAAGACCAGTCATTCTGGATTCAGGGTTGTGGGTTGGGAAGTAATAGGAAATCTGTTGGGACCAGATTATTACTCCGGATTTCCAGCTGGAATTTCCTTTCCATCCCTGTGGGCTGTGTATAAGCTATTTAATCCTTCCAAACGAAGGTCTGCTGTGGCTACTTTTACCAGGTCTTTAGATTCCATGTTTATCTCTCCAGGTAAGTTAGGTCCTGGATGTTAGAAGAGTATCTTCAAATCTCTTTGTATCCTTATTATCTAGCACGGGGCTTTGTGGTTTGGTGACATTTTAGGAAGCAGGATTTTTAGGGAGACTAACAGAAATGGGTTGAAAAGGAGAAAGACTAGGCCAAGGAAGGCCAATTGGGGAAACTGCCTTATATCTCAGGCATGAAGTAATATGGGCCCGGACTAGGCAAGCAGAAAGGAAAAGGAAGCAGTGGATTCAAAAGAAGAATGACTAGGAGTTGGTGATGGCTGAGCTACGGAGGAATGGGAGGAACTGAAGGTGATTCGGAGGTTTTGAGAATAGAGATATTAATAGAAATGGAGAGGTAGTGGATAGAGTCAGTGTTGGTGAGAGGAAGATGAGTCTGACTTATAATTTAATGATTTCAAAGTGTAAGTAGCATGCAATTGTAAACAAAGACTAGAAACCAGGGCACCGATACAGATTTGGGAGCTCTGGAGTAATAAAATCACAGCATATTGGGGCTAGCAAGGACTTTATCTAGTTCAATCTTGAGAGGCTCCAAGAGATTTTAGCTTGTACAAACTCTAATAGCTAGATACAGTACCCAGCCCAGAATCCTGGTTTTCTGGCTTCCTACGGAAGTTATGCCATGCAATTTCCCCTAGTGGAAAATGAGGTTTAAAACAGATCAAAGGTATGGGGAGGAACCTAAAGTCCCACAGAAGAGAAAGTAGTAGAGAGGAATACCACAGCTGTTTATGCTACCCTTGCTGTCCTTCAGGTCAAAGCTTACCTTCACTTGGGGCTCCCTGGAAGGCACCTGATCCAGCGCTATCCTAAAATCTAGAGAGCTTTTCTAGCTCCAATATTGGCTGGTACCTTGTTTTGGAACCCCCCTGGGAGACTGGAGACCTTGGTTTGCAGGGATCCCAATGATGAGGGTTTCTAGATAAAACCACGGCTCTTCTATTCAATATTTATTAAGGCTCTTCTGGAATGTCAAGGCACTATTTCTTCAAACCACCACTTGTATTTCCGATGAAGTATTTGAAGTATGGATCCTAAGGGAGTTTTATTTTTCTTTCTCTGACTTAGATTGTGGGACTCACTGAGAAGACTGTTTTAGTTGCCCTGGATACTGTTTCCTGTTTGGAGCAGGGCAACAACTGTAGGACTGTGGCCTCCACAGCGATGAACTCCCAGTCATCCCGCTCTCATGCCATCTTTACAATCTCCATAGAGCAAAGAAAGAAAAATGACAAGTAAGTTACAATCTAAAGAGTCAAGATTTTTTTTAAAGTTTATTTTTAGAGAGGGGAAGGGAAGGAGAAAGAGAGGGAGAGAAAAATCAATGTGTGGTTGCCTCTTATGCGCCCCCCACTGGGGACCTGGCCTGCACCCTAGGCATGTGCCCTGACTGGGAATCGAACTGGCAACCCTTTGCTTTGCAGCCCGTGCCCAATCCACTGAGCCACCCCAGCCAGGGCAAGAGTCGAGATTTTTAATGTGAGTTCTAATCAAGTTGACCAGTGGGTCGCTTCTTCAATTGGTTTGACAAAGCATCTGACATCAGTACTCTGAGCACTAGTAATGAGTGGGGCTATTTTGACCGACTTGAAAGAAAAGAGCTGGCGGGTCAGCTTTGAGACTCAGCTGTCCTCAAGCTTGTAGCTTGTATACCCTTCTCATTTGTGGCATCCTGTCATTATCACAGGAATAGCAGCTTTCGCTCCAAATTGCATCTTGTAGACCTTGCTGGATCAGAAAGGCAGAAGAAAACCAAGGCGGAAGGGGATCGTCTCAAAGAGGGTAAGGATTGGTTAAGACCACAGTTGGAGATAAAACCTTCTAGCACTCTTCTTCTTGGTATTATTGGTGTCTTCGCTGGGATATTTCAGGTCCCAGTCTAACAGTGCCTACAATTCAAGCTGGACGCTGATTTCAGAAATAGTGAAAAGCTGTTTCTTTCCCTTGCGCTCATTTCCTAATTTAGGTGTGAGATTTGGATCTGGCCCTTGGTTTGATTTCATCTCGTCCAGGCAAGTTTTTGTTTTCTTTTCTTTTCTCTTCTTTTACTGCCTCCCCCGCCCCAACTACTTATGATTAAAATCAATATCCTCAAGTATTCACGGTCCTTCCAAGATGTCACATAAACCTCATCAGCATGGTTTCCATATCTTCATTTAAGTTGTTGCCTAGAAATGGTGAAGCTCCTAAGGCTAAAAGAACCCATGGTGTGTGCTATTACAAACCTTTGTCTAGCATGAAAGTGACCTGGTAAACTGCATGCTGTGGGAATGGTCTTTTAAGCAATTATTAATCTATCTAACAAAAATTAACAACCAGCTCCTGTTTCTCAATTTTAAAGATTTTATTTCTTTATTTTTAGAGAGGCGGGAAGGGAGGGATAAAGAAAGGGGGAGAAAGATCGGATGTGTGAAACGTACATCTACCAGTGGCCTCTTACAAGTGCCCAACAGGGAACCTGGCCAGTAACCCAGGCATGTACCCTGACTGGGAATCAAACTGGTGATCTTTTGGTTCACAGGCCAGCACTCAATCCATTGAGCCACACAAACCAGGGCTGTTTTCTCAATTTTATACTTAAGGATCTCATAAAAGATTTCATCAGATGCCTTGCTAAAGTCCAGATATACTATACCCACCATATTTCTCATTGGCCACCAGCTTAGTAACAGTACAAAAAGGAAATAAGGATTAGCCTAAAGCAACTTTCTCTTAGTGAATTCAGCTGGCTTCTAGTGCTTATTTTTCCATTTCTAGGTTCTTGCAATCCATCCCTGTAATAATATAGAAGACATATCAAACTTACTGATCTGTAATTTATAGAATTAACTTCTAGCTCTTTTTTTTTTTTTTGAATTTTGACATTACATCTGCCCAGTCTTCTGGAACATCTTTTTCTCTGAGATTTCTCAAAGATCACTGACATAGTTTCAGCACTCACATTTGAAATTACTGTTAGTTCCAATTTACTTGGCTAGAATTCATGTGGCCCAAGATATTTGACCTCTTATGAAAGTGGCTGAGGTCTCACTACCTCCTTACCTTGGGCTTCAGGTCCCTCGGGAGCTGAGAAGGCAGAAGCCACAAGTGTAATTGAGGGATTTTACCTTTGTCATTTACCAGCATTATACCGCTGGCACAGGGCACAGCCTGTTTTCTTTCTCATTCAGCTTTTGTTCCGAATGTAGTTAAGAGTGACCTTTCTGTTCTGTGTTAACCTTATTTAAAGGTTCTTGTGCCTCTTTTATCTTTCCTTAGGTGTAGGGTTCTGAGTTATCTTTTAACAGCTCTTCGAGATGGAATTCACAGCCATAAGATTTACCCATTTACACTGTCCAGATCAGTGGATTTTTGCATATTCACAGAGTTGTGCATTCACCACCGCAGTCTAATGTTAGAGCACTTTCATCCTTTTCCCAAAGAAGTTTAACATCCACCAGCAGTCACTCCCCTTTCCCAGCCCTTCTCTAACCCTAGGCCACCACTAACCTATATTTCTTATTAATATAGTCATGCAATAAGTGGTCTTTTGTGACTGGCTTGTTTCACTTATGTTTTTTGTTTTTTTAAAAGATTTATTGTGTGAAAAATTTCTTTTCTTATATATTTTATTGACTATGCTATTACAGTTGTGCCATTTTTTTCTCCCCTTTATTCCCCTCTACCTTGCATCCCCCTCCCACCGTCATGCCCTCCCCTGCTTAGTTCACGTCCATGGGTCGTACATATGAGTTCTCTGGCTTCTTCAATTCCCATACTGTTCTTAACGCCCCTTGTCTATTTGTACCTACTATTTATGCTACTTATTCCCTGCACCTCGTCCTGCATTCTTCTGCCTTCCCCTCCTCACTGATAACCCTCCATGTGATCTCTATTTCTGTGAATCTGTTCCTGTTCTAGTTGTTTGCTTAGTTTGCTTTTGGTTTTTTAGGTTCAGTTGTTGATAGTTGTGAATTTGTTGTCATTTTACTGTTCATATATTTGATCTTCTTCTTTTTCGGTTTGCAGGCCGTCACTCAGTCCACTGAGCCACACCAGCCAGGGCAATCTTCTTCTTTTTCTTAGATAAGTCCCTTTAACATTTCATATTATACAAGCTTGGTGATGATGAACTCCTTTAACTTGACCTTATCTGAGAAGCACGTTATCTGCCCTTCCATTCTAAATGATAGCTTTGCTGGATAGAGTCATCTTGGATGTAGGTCCTTGCCTTTCATGACTTGGAATACTTCTTTCCAGCCCCTTCTTGCTTTTGAGAAGTCAATTGATAGTCTTACAGGAACTCCTTTGTACATAACTGCCTCCTTTTCTCTTGCTGCTATTAAGACTCTCTCCTTATCTTTCATCTTGGCTAATGTAATGATGATGTGCCTTGGTGTGTGTTTCCTTGGGTCCAAATTCTTTGGGACTCTCTGAGCTTCGTGAATGTCCTGGAAGTCTATTTCTTTGCCATATTGGGGAAGTTTTCTTCATTGTTTGTTCAGATAAGTTTTCAATTTCTTGCTCTTCCTCTTCTTCTGGCACCACACTATGATTCCGATGTTGGAATGTTTAAAGTTGTCTCGGAGGTTCCTAAGCCTCTCCTCATTTTTTTTTTTGAATTCTTGTTTCTTCATTCTGTTCTGGTTGACTGTTTATTTCTTACTTCTGCTCCAAACTGTTGATTTCAGTCCCAGTTTCCTTCCCGTCACTGTTGGTTCCCTGTACATTTTCCTTTATTTCACTTTTTCCTCTATTTTGCGTCCATACTCATCCAATTCTGTGAGCATCCCAATTACCAGTGTTTTGATAGGTTGGTTATCTCTTCATCACTTAGTTGTATTTTTTCTGGAGCTTTGATCTATTTTTTCATTTGGGCCTTATTTCTTTGTCTCAATGCACCTGTTAACATAGTAAGGGGTGGAGCCTTAGGTATTCACCAGGGCAGGGCAACCCACATTGCTGTGTTGTGGCACTATATGTGGGGGAGGGGTCCCAGAGGGAACAATGCCGCTTGCTCAGCTGTTGGCCGGCTTTTACGCACTTTCCCTGCTACCCACAAGCCAATTGGGCCCTTCTGGTGCTGATTCCCAGGTGGGTGGTTTTGTGTACATTATAGGACCCTGTGGGTCTCTCCAACAGACTCTCCTGTGAGGCTGGGAGTTTCTCCCTCTGCCTCAACACCCACAGGTTTTTTTCATCTAGAGGTTTTGAGACTTTATTTCCCCTCCACAATCCACTGGAACCCTGGGATTGTGCAGTCTGTCTTGCTCCCTAGTTGTTCCTCCTGGTTTATCTGCACACGAATGTGGGACTACCCGGTCTGCCAGCCACCACCTTGCCTGCTCAGGTATGCCAGCCACCACCTTGCCACGAGCCCTCTGCGCCCTGGCTAGGGAGAGAAACATCAGTGTGTGGTTGCCTCTCGCATGCCCCAAACTGGGGACCTGGCCTCCTACCCAGGCATGTGCCCTGATGGGGAATTGAACCAGTGACATCTTGGTTCACAGGCTGGTGCTCAATCCACTGAGCCAAACCAGCCAGGACCCTTTGCCCATTTTTTAATTGGGTTATTTGTTTTTTTGGAATTGAGTTGTATAAGTTCTTTGTGTATTTTGGAAATTATCCTCTTATCAGATGTATCATTGGGAAATATGCTCTTCCATTCTGTGGATTCCCCTTTCTTTTTTTGAAGATTTTATTTATTTATTTATTTATTTATTTATTTATTTATTTATTTATTTATTTATTTATTTTCCACAGAGGGGAAGTAAGGGAAAAAGAGAGAGAGAGAAACAGTGATGTGAGAGAGAAACAGCAATCAGTTGCCTTTCGCTTGCCCCTGACTGGGGGGACCTGGCCCACAACCCAGACATGTACCCAGATCAGGAATCGAAGCAGTGACATTTCATTTTGCTGGAAGATGCTCAGTTACCTGAGCTACACCAATCAGGGTCCTTTTTCATTTTGTTGATGGTTTCCTTTGCTGTGCAAACACTTTTTAGTTTGATGTATTATTTTGAAGCAAATCTGGCCTAGACGTATAGCTTATTTCAGTTTGTATCTGAAAAAAAGAATTCTTTTGTAAAAATATTGTATTTATTCATTTTTACTGAGAGGGGAAGGGCAGGAAAAAGAGAAGGAGAGAAACATCAATGTGTGGTTCTCTCTAATGTGCCCCCTACTGGGCACCTGGCCCTCAACCCAGGCATGTGCCCTGCCTGGGGATCGAACTGGTGAGCCCTTGATTCACAGGCCAGCACTCAATCCACTGAGGTACACCAGCCAGGGCTGTTTCTCAATTTTATACTTAAGGATCTCATAAAAGTTTTTATCAATGTCTTGCTAAAGTCCAGATATACTATACCCACCATATTTCTCATTGGCCACCAGCTTAGTAACAGTACAAAAAGGAAATAAGGATTAGCCTAAATCAACTTTCTCTTAGTGAATTCAGCTGGCTTCTAGTGCTTATTTTTCCATTTCTAGGTTCTTGCAAGCCATGCGTGTAATAATATAGAAGACATATCAAACTTACTGATCTGTAATTTATAGAATTAACTTCTAGCTCTTTTTTTTTTTTTTGAATTTTGACATTACATCTGCCCAGTCTCCTGGAACATCTTTTTCTCTGAGATTTCTCAAAGATCACTGACATAGCTTCAGCACTCACATTTGAAATTACTGTTAGTTCCAATTTACTTGGCTAGAATTCATGTGGCCCAAGATATTTGACCTCTTATGAAAGTAGCTGAGGTCTCACTACCTCCTTACCTTGGGCTTCAGGTCCCTCGAGAACCGAG